TGGAAAAAAGCAGAAACGAGAACATTACACAGAAGCCTTAACAATGAAATATATCAGTTTTTTATTATTTAATATATCCACTTTTTTACACCTTTCATTGTTTTCTAGAGACTTGCTTTCAGTTTCAAATCTGATATTTTTCACACCTCCAAATTCCAAAAAATCCCAAACACATTCTAAAACGTGGAGGTCTGGACTCTGTAAATTGTTCTGAGAACACCAGCAGCTTCTTTATTTGCAAATTTTCTTTTTTGTCTCTTCCCTTTTCAGACCCATAGCATTGAGTTGTCTTCTCACAGTGGAAGGACGGACAGAAACACTTGTGGCTTTTTTTAGATCTGAAGCAAAAGTGGAGCTTGATTATCTCTCAGAGATAAAAGCTTTAAGTTCTGTTTATCTGATGGTGACTGTTCTGGTGTTCTGTCAGGTCTTGTACAGATGTTAGGAGTCTCAATTTTTTCTGTAACAATCTATTTTTTGAACTCCAAGTTTGGAACCTTGAAAGACGAACAACTTGCTCTGAAGGGAAATCTCTGTTTTTTACACAGTATTGTATATAGTATTCCATCTGTTTTTTTTCTAATAAAATTGGAAAATGCCACATTCCAGTTTACACTGACTAAACATTTCAGGATGAATGGACCAACAGAAATGGTAAAGAATTACCCAGACTAAGATCTTGTTACATTAACGTATCATAATTAAGAACTTCTGTCTGTACAGTTATCATTTTAGAGATCTTTTCCCACAACAGCATCAATATATAATTTCAAGACCTCACTTTCTTTCTCTCCCTCTCTCACTCTCTGGGATGTCTCTGCAGTGCCTGGAGGGAATAAACTAAAAGCTCTTCAGCAGAGTACAGCTGTATACTCATCAGCTTAATTTAGCATTACACAATAGATCAGAGGCACAATACACAGCGCAAATGCGCCGCGTACCATTAGTGAGCATGAGCACTTCCTTTCTGTATGACAACAACAATGATGCTTTTAAGGCCTATCCAGAGTTCGGTAGATCATTTAGATACACAAACACATCAAGCAGTGTAGTTAGGCTTACAGATTTACAGCTTATGCCAGTAATGCAGCACTTAAGACAGAGATAGAAAACAATGTTTGGTTTCAGTCAACATATTGGCCTTCACTCTTTGTCAATCACAGGTTAGTCACTGAGAGCATCGAGAGCCAGCCCACTGGGCATTCCTTGGTCAGTGAGTCATAGAGAGCAGCAGCCTGTTTTGCCTTATTGCGAGACGAGATGAGGATTTCAAGATAAGGTGTGGTAGATAATTATGACACTTAAATTAGAGGGAGAAACTTGAGTCCATGTGTCAGGCATCAGTGGCAACATGGTGTTTGTTCCTTTGTTTGTGTGTTTGCATTTACGCAAGAAACAGGCTCGAGTATTTGATTCTGAGACTTGTTCAGTAGTCTCATGTCTCATATCTCATGTTTTCCATTTCAGAATATAGTCAGTGGGGAATCTTCTCTAATACTGTTATCTCATTGCATAGTTTTGGGTAGAAACTTAAAGGTTAAAAATTGTCCAATCAGGTTTTTTATCCTTGGTAACTAAGCAGATACCGAGTCTCTCACTGGTTAGTTCAGGAGCCGGACTGAAAGCCTCACACATCAGATTGACCACCAGTATAATTAGGAAGTTACAGTGGAATCAACCAATCAGGTTTTGATTTACATCAGACGGGACCGATTTTGTGAGAAGTAACGTTACTGTAGGCCTTAGATATGTCACAGACTGTGACCCTGAGTCGAACCAGGTTTCAGTTAGTTGTTAGCAAATGGAAAACAGCAGAGGCCAGTGGCATTTAAGTATTAGTCTTTAAGATTATGAAAAACGTTCAGTCATTATGACCACTACTGAAGTCAACTGAGTCGGACAACCAGCTCATGAGAGAAACAATACTGGGGTATGCCACTATTACAACAAAAAGGGTAGGAAAAGATTGGTGGGCACTCGCCACCTACTCCCTTAACCTCGTTGTAATGAGCCAGCTCTGCGATCGACATTTACTGGAATACATACTGTTTATGACATACACGTCTTGCAAACTAAAACTGTATTTAGCAAAGCAAACCCCACAGACACCACAAAGCCGCTTGTTACATTTTGTTTGCACAACGAGCAGACTGAGGGAAAAGTTGCTTACTTAGCGAAGCAGACTTCAAATCAGAATCAGAAGTACAAAACTTTGTCTACCACATTCAGCCTGGATAGAAAATCTTCTCTAAAACTGGCCTTCTCTGATATATGTGCAGGGTTGAAATGTGAGAACAACAAACAGCATAAAGACGTAAGACAATAGCAATAAACAGAGCATAGCCTGAAAACACAAGCATAAAAACAAGTCAACAGCTATTAAAGTGATTCTAAAAATATCATTTAAAAAGAAGCGTCCAGTAATATCCTGTTACTGCATATTACTAGCATTGAGAGACATCCTGAGGATGTTCTTAGTAAATAAAAGGGTTTTTGTGGTCCTCTCTAGTACACAGCAGAATTCCCAGTGTTGAATTCACTCTTTCAGTGTGTATGCAATATATATATATTTCAATACAAAAAAATAAGGAGTAGCATCTAATGATCTAGCCACAATACAATATAACACTATAAAATACAATGTGTTGTATTGCTACATGACAAATCAAAGTTATGTCAAATAATTAAAATTATTACCAAATATCAAACTGTCACTGATCAAACCAGCACTGTATTGCGGTGATGGAATATTTGCACGTGTGTGGCTCAAGTCCCAGTGATGTCTTGAAGCAGGCAGCCAAGGAAAAGACTGCATCATTCTTGTGGCTTCAGCAAATTTCAGCCTTCCTCACAAAAATTGGAAGTTATTAAAGATCCAAATGCAGACATCAATATCTGGCAGCGTGCTCCGTGTTGGCTTTGTTGGAGCTGTGTGTGTGGCCAAGCTTAGCCTGGACAGTAAGGGGAAAACAAGGGGATGGGGGGTTTGTTCCACTACTCACTGCTATCATTTCTTAGAGAAACAGCTCTTTGCTCACTGAATTACGCTCAATAACAGAAGAAATCTCTGCACAGAGTGGACTGAAAAAATAGTGATAGTGACTGTAGGGTGAAATGAGGGCGTCTTGGCCGTCGGATCATAGAGGATTCTTGGTTATTTTCAATTTCAGCTGGTGCCTACTAGTATACTCTTTATAAACGATCAAAGTGGAAATGGGCTAATTCAATTACAACAGCATTTTTCATGGTGTAATGCAAAAAGCTTTATCGTATATTATATATATACAGAGTGTGCATGTGAGAGAGAGAGATTCACTAAGGCTGTGGTCAAGGTCATGGCTGCATCATCATCAAACATCACTTTAATACAGCACACACATCTCAGAGTTACATAACACTCACCCGCCCTGCAGAATCTCTTTATGTAGATCATACTGGATGATGTTCTTAGTGGACAATGCACATTGAGATTAAACTATGAAACCCAGATCCCATTGTTTGGCCTCTAATGCCTTCAGATGAGTGGACATCTCCTCTGCCCTGCCCAGAGTCCAGTCCTGACCGCATTAACCCTTAAAGTGTTTTTATTGCTAGTGATAAAAGCATGTTTCCAACAAGATGTGACAAATTACTGATTCAGCCCTATAACAAATCAAGCCTGAACTACTCACACTATGTAAAGGAGCTTAGTAGTTTTTGAAGAAAAAATATTGGCTTATCAGCATCAGCTGATATTCAAGGTTTCAATATTGGTATCGGTACTGGAAAAGAAAAAGTGGTATTGTGCCATCTGTAGTATTTCAATCAAAACACCATAGTGGAGCAAAACGATGTGACTTAAGGGTAAAGAGTTCAGCTTCCTCTTTGTCTTAAATTCAGCCTACAATCAGTCCTTTTTTTTGTCAAGTCAGCATCTACCGATTGGAGGAATGACCCTGCAGTATATGCGGTTGCTATAGTGGAATAAGCCAGCTGCACATATTTTCTTTGGTTTTATTTCAGTACCTCCAGTTCCCCTTTTACCACAGCAGACAGCACAGAAAATGAAAGGTCAGCCATGTAGTTTCACAAGACTTTCAGAGACAGTGCCAGTGGAATCTGAAAAGATCTGGATCCAATCACATATCGCTAAGTAATATCATAAATACATAGTGCGCTATTGGAAGTAAAATGCAGTGGCATTTACGCGTACACACATACTTAACAGCAGTGTTCAAGCCAGCGGTGAGCAGTTTCTTTCTAGACCTTCAGATGCCCTTGATCGTGTGTTAATATCCAAGAACGGCTGTTGCTTGGACACCAGGGGCTTGTGGGTGGGGAGTGGGCAGGGAAGCTGAATTGAGCAGCCTTGGAGCGTCCTCCCCCACTACATCAGCACAGTCCATTTGATAAAGCATACTGAAGGATAATGAATGGTCTACATACATTTTTAACTTTCCTTTAAATTTTTATAATGATTCTTAATTACATCTTTTATTTGTGTTGTTTTTTTATATAGCTTTAGGCTCAGAATTGACAGTTCTGAGCCTAAACTTTTAAGTATGATGATGGCAGATTCAAAGGAACGTAATAGCTGTGATTTTGCCCTTTAAATTGTGTGAACATTTCACAACCAACAGATCAATAGAACCCTCCAAATGACTTGGATGCTTATTACATTAACGTACTTTAAGTTCTAGGGGAAATCCACCGATCTTTCAACACTTGTGCATAATAAAATCATTAAAATATAAACAAAGTAATTCAGAGTGTTGGAAATGTTCAGAGTGGTGGTGATAGGAACCAGACATCTAAAGTGTCAAAATGTCAAATTCCACAAATAAATAGAAATTTTGCACTAAAATTTCCACAAAAATACTATATTTAGGTTCTCTGTAGAGGATGTATTGACTTATTTTTACTTAGAAAATAAACAAAATGTAATTTGAGCAGGAATTTATGACTGTAAACAAGCTAACAGGGATGATAAAACATGAAATTTCTCTTTTTATCTTCCACAGTTTTCATCTGCAGTTTCATGGTGGCTGCACCCATTTTCGGTTACCTAGGCGACCGATTTAACAGGAAAATCATTCTGAGCTGCGGCATCTTCTTTTGGTCAGCTGTGACGCTGCTGAGCTCCTTCATCGCCAAAGAGGTAAGAGCCCTAGAAACATGACTGAGGGGTGTGTGCACCCAGCATGAATCTGAAATGGCCAAACATTTTAGCCTTTAACTGATTCATTTCAAGCCCATCAGTGAGTTGGAAATGAAATAGCGCTCCATTTAGTGCAGCTAAAACAAAAGCACTTAAAGGTGTCGTTGAACTCAAATGAAGATCGTAAGCCAGCTCATTTAGGACGACTGTAAAATGGCACTTAAAGTTAATAGCCAAGTGAAAAGCTAGCAGGGCAGGTTTGAAACGACCCTGGAACTTTTTAAGAAGCTGCTTGTGGCAGCTCACCTGAGCTTATAAAACTTGACAGTTAAATCAGGGCCTATGTTCTACCGTTTCATAATTAAGGGCCATTAAGATATTTCAACCTTAAAGGGTTCATACGAACAGTGAAACATTCCTTACCTTGTGTGAAACAAAGTAAAAATTAATACAATAAAATAGTACAAACAGTTTTTTTTTAAAAAAACTAGTTTACTTTGAAGAACAGAGTTTGGCTCCATATGTCTCCTGGATGCCCCCAGCCATAACCTTGATTTATTAAATTTCATCACCAGCGCACTTCATCCAACATAAAAAGGATTTATTATACAACCCAAGTGTTAGATAATAACCACAAATAATACTGGGCTGCTATGAGAAGAGGTTTTTATTTATAAACATAACTCTATAAAACAAATAATTATTTGTAAAAAGAACAGTAACAAAAATTGCATCTCAAAAGTAGTCTTACAATCTCCTCATGCTTTAGCTTTTAGAAACATGTTGATCTCATTGTGTAGACGGAGGTGAAGGGGCATCCACTGCTTTACCAGAGATCAGACAGTTCGCTAATAAGTGACTAGGCCTTTCAACGAGGCTGCGTATGACTCAGCGGTGGTCCGAATATGCAAGTGTTGACATTACACAAATCCTTTCGACATTTAGGCCCTAGGGGAACACAAGCAGGCAGCCCAAGCAGAGATACTGGATAGCTTTCATTTGATTAACGCTGTCTGCAATTTATTACAGACGCTTTCAGTCAAACTCAGACAATATTGAGGAAAGTACACATCAGCAGGCTGTGTGAGTGTGTGTGTTGCCCAGTCTCCAGGGAGGGCACAGAGACAGTGATTCCCAGTGACTGCTAATTAAAAGGCCACATTAACGGAGAGATGGCAGCGAAATGACAGTTGAGGAATGTTTGGTGCAGCCTGGAGGAAGAACAGATTCTTACAATATGCCACTGGACGTGTGTGCGCATTTGAATGTTTGCCAGTCGACTTCTTCAGTGTGTTTGTATGTTCTTTTCTCTGGCGGGGTCAAGGCTGTCCCCTGCTTGGGGGCAAGAACTGAGTAAATTCCCCAGGATCTATAAAACTGAACTGACACTGACAGTAAAAGCCATTTTGCATCACACTAACCTTCCTGACGTGTGCCTCAGAGCGCACACACACACAAACTTTATATATATGTGGTCATGAGTGTGAGGTACTGCAAATATTCTCATATCTGTCAGTCAGAACACACCACAGCTGTCGACGCTTACGTAACCACGTTAACAGAGCCTAATATTGTAAAATCTTTTATATACACAGCAACTTTGGCTGTTATATGTATTTAGTCTTATTGCAACTGCAATGTTTCAACACCTCAAAATGAACTGAGAATGTGTGTTTTGGTCAGTGCATGTTAGTCAACAAAGCAAATTAGATTGGGTTATTGGGCTTCTGCTGTTTTGTTTTTAAACATAAAGCAGGAAGTTACGAGAAGCCATATGCTACAGCAATTTAAGGGGGTAAAGGGGTGTTGTTAATCACAACACAGTGCTTGCAATATGTTTTTCTGACAAGCAATGTAGCTCATTAACATTAAGCTATGGTTGTAAAGCAATGTGAATTCTAGGAAGCCACCAACATGGTATTTCTGAGCCAATGTTTATACCATGTTCATTGACTCGTACTCGACCTAATAACAAATGCTCTGATAAGCTGTTAGGGTACGCTGTTACGCTAATGAACAAACGACTCTAGCTGGCAGTGAGCGAGGGTCTGCTTGCAAAGTGTTTCTGACACCATGACACAAAGCTGTCGGTCACTTTAAATATTCCGCTTTGCAATATTCCCACCAGGATACGCTCTGCTGTTTAAGCCCATTTTTAAACACGCAATCACAATCACTTCCACAATATGCGTAGAGACATGTAGGCCATTCAAACGTACAGTGCAAGTGTACGGCTGACTTCATAGGACGTTCAACTACAACTCAACTGGCCAACCAGCCAGAAAGACTCCAACAAGACAAAACGGTAGCTCTTCGGATGTGTTAGCCTCAGATGTGATTCCTGCTGTCACTTTGCGACAAACACTGCCGTTCAAAGAGACGATCAGAGAGGATCAAAACTATGAAACATACTTTACTTATAGCTGTACAGAAGTGCTTTTCTGATGTGGAACCAAAACCTGCTTTTCTTCACTACAACACTACTTGATCCAGGGTAAATAAGGTAGAATAGCTATTTACACAAACAATTATTTAATTCTAAGTAGGTTACTCCGTACGGTATCAGAATCGGCAAGTGCTAAAAAACACGTACTCGTAGTTGGTTTAAAAAAAAAAAAATCAATGCATGACTTGTATATTCAGTATTTTGCAGTGACTTCATACGTGGCTTAGCCAAACAGATTTTAAAACTAGAGCTATCCTTTTTAAAACGTGGATATTAAAACAAAAATGATGATAGCTGAGGTTTTGGTTACTCAGTTGATTGAATAATAGGTGATAGAATAGTTATTTAAAGAAAATTTTTTTAGCCCAGGTCAGATCAGCACCTTTAATTATGAAGTTTTCTATATGATAACGATGATCACAGTGAAAAAGAAAATCCACCTGTTTTGGTCTAGTTCCTTTAAGGTTCTTCCCTCCTGGGTCACTCTGTCTTTTAGCGCAAGTATCTCTGACACATCTTTTTATTACTTTACACCGACCTCCTGCCCTACAACTGATGAACTCATCTCCCAAAACTCCCCCAGATCTCCTGGAGCTGGACACTTTTAACAAGATTGTTCATGGCTGTGAAGATTCAATAGGCCTCTGCAGACTGATGTGCCTGAAAGAGATTCCTGAATAAGAAGTACAGTCCTAAAGGATTAGTTAAACAAAGTGTTTTGGGGGGGATTAACCAGAAATTAGACAGCAGTTAAAGCCAAAGTCTGCTTGTCTACAACTGCACAGTGTCTTTTATTTCCCCGGCTACATTTAGCATAATCTTGCCTCTTTTTGACAAAAGACTGAGGCTGGTGGCAGGGCTGTGGTTTAATATGCACATATTCAAGCGGAATATGTTTCGGAAACTCATGTTTATGCATGTGATTTTGAGGGATGGGACCGAATGCCGCTCAGCATTCTCCACTTCATGGCTTTAATGTGGAAGAAAGAAGAGAGCAAGACCCTGTTCCTCGTGGCTGGCTCGCCAATTTAAAATAAATAAGCTTGACCTGCCTGACTCATGAGAGTGGTCAAGTTAAAAATAAATGAAGCAGGTTTTATATTAAGGATTCAGGAACATAGTTTTCGTTCTGGAAAGGGTGACAGCAAAGCTATGTGATGGCATATTTACTCAGCATGCATGTGCACTGAAAAAAACATGTATTTACTTGATTCAAAAGTGTACATTGGTTCCACATTAAGAAGTTATACTACAAAGATATGTTACATTAACACAGTTATCGCCAAAAGTGTGTAAACTGAATGACAATAACTATGCATTAACATATCATGTAGGAGTTGTATTCATGGACACTTTGCCTGCCGCAGTCACGCTCATTTATCACTGCTGTGCCATTCTCCTTCCACTCGCAGTAACATCAGGTTAGACATGGCTTCAAATAACAAGTCTTTCATTTTAAAAGAATCTTCAGTCTGAAGGCCAGAACAAAGAGCTAAACACAGTAAATGCAGTATTTTTAAAGGTAAGAGGCAAAACAACTTGAAAAGGTTTGCTAGCATCTAGTTTGGATAGCAAGTATGCTAGCTAGTACCCTATCTAATTCATCAGTTATCTAGCTGAAGTTACAGATCACATTCCCTTAAAATGTCTGTACAATTTCAGCAAGATTAGATGCATCAGTAAGATGCTAGCTAGCATACTTGGTGTACAAACTACAGCTGTGTTAAGTTATTTTGTCTTGTCCCTTTAAACACCTTTACTGCATGTCACGCTTCATTCGGTGCATCAGACTTAACGTTTTTCTAAAATGAAATGGTATTTGAGGTCGTGTACAATGTATTGCCTGCAGCTAAAGTAAAATTCACTACTAAAGCCTTGAGACTTGACTCCATACTCTTGACTTGCCCCCCAGAGACTCGAAACGTGACTCAGACTCACATGAAACAACTTGTGAATAAAATCCAGGGCCAGAAGCTGGATTTTGCAACACTCAGCTTCCTTCGTATCAGCAGCAGGTTTTGCCTGTAATGATTTGATAGTTTTCCAGACTATTGTTAAAAGCATATATTGAAACTGTTGTAGTCAAAGGTGGCTTAAACACCTGAAAGGTTTGAGTGCTGATAGTGCCGACATCACAAGAAAAGGGTAAAACGTCTGGGGTTAGCATCATTCAGACCCCACCTTCAACATGTGGAGGTAGTATGAGAAGACATTGTAGGACTGTATGAGAGGAGAGAGCTCTTGAGCACGTGAACTGCTTGGTGTCCACAACCTTTTGATGGGCAGTATACTTGCTCATGTTGGTGTGCATATCACCCACATTCTCCCTTTGTTTCCTCATCTTTTCCATACCTCCCTCCATCATTGTCTCTGCATTGCAGGGGCTTCAGCAGCTCTCCAGCTGTCCGCTCCCAAGCAAACGGGTTTGCTGTCACACATAAAGCCGTAGTGTATAGGGGAGGGAAGCATGCATGTGTGTGTGTGTGTGTGTGTGTGTGTGTGTGCGTGTGTGTGTGTGTGTGTGTGGAGGAAGAGGATTGCCCGGCTTTACTCTCAGTGGCGATTCCTGTCACGTACTCCAGAGTAATTCCCCTTGCCTGCTGGGAATTATGTAACACTCCACAATAAGCGAGTTTTTTTTTTTCTCAACATACAGCAGGATTGGCACCCTTGAAGGCTGTCAGGTAAAATAGAATGGAGGAATGAAAAAGGAGGGAGAGAAAAGAAGGATATCCAGTAATGGGATGAAGACACGGGGCACTGTGATGGACGCCGTTCTTTTTCAGTAAAAATAGATTTATAGCACACTCATATACACACATTTATACACAATACTCTTTATACTACACAGCACTAGCAGAGTAACAATACACATATTTTTAGGTTCAGCTCTGAGATCAAGTACAGTTTTAGGCAATTTTAAAAATTCAGTTAAAATTTCAGCTCTAATTTTATTCTACACAGATTAGTATATTAGTATAAAAATAAATACAATTTTATTTCAAAACAAAAGAAGCAAAGTAGCAAGACCTTATACAACAGTGTAACTGAGCCAGATATCTGGTTTTGGTCATTTACTGTAGAATTTCCACAAAAGGCCCTCAGAAAAGACTGATAGGCGTATTGGTGACATAGTTTTCAAATACTGTTTTAATGATGTTTAAATGTTATATATTTTCGATACTGTACTGAAATTCTTAAAAAGCACATTACCTCCTCTAGTCCACTATTAATTGGTGTCAACTGACCCAAGGGGCAGTAATGTTCTAGGCTAGGTTTAGCATGCACCAACAACAACTTGTACTACGTCTACAAAATGTACTACGTCTCTCCTAGTGATGTATAGTGTATTGTATATTAAATTTGTATACTGTATAGTAACAACAATACACAGCGCTTACAGTGGCCCTGTATGAGTGACTGACTGAGTGAATGAGTGTGTATGAGAGTGAGTGAATGAGTATGTTAGTGACTGAATGAGAGAGTATGTGAGTGTGTGAGAGAATTGCGAGCCAGGTCCATGCAGTGCTTTGTATCTTTTGTATTTTTATATCTGTATTTTTTTGCCTTTTTTGTACATTACAAAATGTATTTAATACGTACATTTTAGATGCCTATAATTTTATTTATTACATTTTATTTATGCCACTGCATAGAAATCCCTTCTTTGATCATCATTTAAAGGTGTTATTCTCTCTCTGTCACACACACACACACACACACACACACACACAGACACACAGACACACACACACGAGCGTCACTCATTAGCATCTACAGGAAGCAGCAGCTGGCTTCCCAGGTAGCCACATGAACCGACCCAAGAGACATTACACAAACCCGGACACACACACACACATACAGTGACACACACTCACTCACTCTCTCCATCACACACTAATCTGATTATGTGCCACTCCTCAGGAGAATTCCCATACTGGCAACATTCACTATAGCACTGTCAAATGAACATCAGCATCCAACACTAGCTATGAATAACTGTAAATGAGCGTATTTACGTTTGTACTTTTTGCTTCTTTAAGACCATAACAGTAAAGTGGCAAAAAGTTCTGCAGTTCAAACTGCTTTTCTCCATGAGCACCGTTGTTGCATGATATGTAAAGAATGTATCCTAACAAAGCCGAAATGTTGTAAACCCTCCATTTGGCCCTTTGTAAATGTAAAAATCCTTTTTAAAAGCATCTGGCTTCTGACTGCCTCGTGGCCACTTCCCATAGAATTACAAGTAAAATGTGCGCCGGTAGTCGAGGAAAAAAATGGACATAGAGGAAGCTGAATGCAAAGAGGGTGGGGCCATAGGGTGTAGGGAAATCTGCCTCTCGAAGGATCCATATATACTGACCCATATTTAAGCCAGCTCACACTCATATTCGGGCCCACGCACATACGCTTCAACAATGTCTCCACATGGATGGCTATATGTGTACCCCACCTAGTCTAGTTCCCTTTCTGGGAAGGGCTCTTTTAGTTTCCTTCCCCTTGTTCTAACCATTAAACCAGCACTCTTGGGTCAGAGTGCATTGTCCACATGTTACCAGGGCTAAATGAATTTCTCCTTTTCCAGGACCACAGCTAAATGCTAATTCAAGGCCTATTGTTATAAACCACATCCCCTATGAATATATAGTCTCCTAATAGCAAGGCCATACAAAAAGGTCATCTTCCTTTCATTCTGCATTCAGCTTTTTTAACTAATCTGTGTATTCTTGGGAAATCCACACCCAGCAGTTTCGTTACCTTCAACAGAAGAGAACAGATTTATGAAGGAGTGTTGCTGAATAAGCTGGATAGGTCTTCTGGGCAAGGGTGGGAGTAGTGATCTATTTTTGGAAAATGAAAAGTCTCTTTCATTATCATCACTTACTGGCGTTTCAGAATTAACAGAAGAAACATATCTTAAAGGTGTCAAATATTCAAAAATAGAAAAAAGAGAAATGAGTCATGTTACCAGTGCTAATCATTCACAGCACAATGATTAGCACTGGTAACATGACTCAAAACAACAGTGAAGGAGACTCATAATGGACTCTGTATTGTAAAGCCTCATATCTCTGCAACTGTATCTTTATAGAAGAAGCTTTAATGTGTTAATTTAACATTAAGGATTTGCCTTTCAAAATTTCTGCTGGTCCATGTTCATAGTAAACCAGCGTGTTGGCAAATGGTAAAAATAACAACGATGATACATATTTTAGAGAATCCAAATGATAAGCTTCTATATAGCTATATTCTATATGTCTAAATCCTTATGCTACTTTCTCCTTTCTGACCCCATGATCTGTCTCTTCCCTCAGTACTATTGGTTGTTTGTGCTGTCCAGAGGCCTAGTGGGCATCGGAGAGTCCAGCTACTCCTCTATCTCTCCCACCATCATCGGTGACCTGTTCACCAGCAACAAGAGGACCATTATGCTCTCTGTCTTCTACCTGGCCATTCCACTGGGAAGGTAAGCTTCATCTTCACTAAATAGTATCAAAAAGTTTCTATGGAAGCTTTGTGCTCTTACATAGAACGTATATAAGAACTTAACTCTGTCAGGCATGTCTTTTCAACATTGTCAAGGAAGCAACATGCACCGTGACGAAAAAGCACTGCTTTAGCTTGCGATTTCTGCTGAGTGCCACAAAAAGCACCATATGTCATCACAGGTGACCAGTCAGTATCGAAGATGTGTGCTCTCTAGTTATCAATGGAGACAAAAATAGCTTTGGCTGTTTAAACTCCTGGGGCTGTGCGACACTTAGCACAAAGAAGAACTGAAAAAGAAGTTTTCAATTTATTTATTTTGAAGTGTTTATGACTTGTCTTGGTCGAACATGCTCTCTTAAATTGGATTCTTCTGTTTATCTAGTTGTCACTTTATAGTCAAGAAAGGAGCACTGGAGGTAGGCACTGCAGTACACATTGAACTTTCCAACCAATGCTGATGGGAAGTGTTTAATTCATGCTATTCACGAAACTTCAACTGATTTAACAGGACTGCCATGTAGAGAACCTGAGGCTGTTTTAGCGACTGTTTTCCATTCTAGACCTGGAGTAGAAGTCCAGGTGGGCTAAAGCCGATTATGACTGTAAGGTTCAAGCTAAAGTTGAGTAGAATACTGAATTGTAATACTCTTTTGCACCTGTAATATAAAATCAATTATTGTGGACTACAAAAGTGCAGAAAAACTGCTGATTCAAAAACACCTGCCCATTGGCTTCTGTTATAAAGGCAGTCTGTTCATTCCAAGTTCAGGGAAAAGTGTCTTTTAGGGACCTTAATGGGATCAAACCATATTGCCCCATTCTCTTTCTTTTAGTAAAGAGAGAGAAAAGCTAATGTTAAAAGTAATGGCAACAATGGACACAAGGCTGCCACTTGCCTTGCCTTGGAAAGGTCATACAAAGCATAAAAAAGGGACTTTGAAAACATATCCAAGTTTCAAACTGTTATGACTTATCAAGGCCTCCATGGTACTTTATCACAGTTCCAGTTTTCAGTTTGTGCCAGAATAGTTTTAAAAGGTAGGCCATTTTGAAAGTAGTGGGCCTGTGCAAATTGAGGCTTTTGACAGCAACATTATCTGCACAACCATCTCAGCTCAGTAAAGGTCAGATCTGCAGTGGCATGCGGACCTTTTTATGTGGTCCCAGCCATGGACCAGAAGGCAGAAAGATAGGCAGGATGAGCAAAATAGAGATGGACACACGTGGATGGTTTTGTTAGTAAGAAGACTCAAAACCCTTATTCTCAGTCACTTATGAAAAGCGCTACCATTTTTCTTCTGTTCACTGAGATGGAAAAAGATGAGCACGAAGATGAAAGATGGAAAAACAAACACAGAAGGGGCGATAAAAAATGGATGTGTGCGGTGGGTGTATTCTTACTTGCCGTGAAAACTCCCCACAGTGCATTGTGGCTGAGCCGTTTCCCGAGCTATATGGGGTTGTTTTGCTCCAGGCCCAAAACCCATAGGAGGGTGAGAGATAAGACCCAGCAAATGACAACCACACATACTGCAACATTCATAACACTGCTATGTTCTCAACCTTAGACAACACAAGACAAGTGGGAATCAAGAGATCATGCATTCGCAAATGTTCAAGCCATGAAGTCAAAGATTAAAACTCTACTGGAGCTGGATTAGTTTGAATGGATTTTTCCAAATTTTAAAACAAAGAAACTATTCATTTAAATGGCTATGAATAAACTGCTTGAAGCCTGAAATATTGTTTTAGTTTTGAGAAAAGCTTTTGGCCTAAAACATATTTTATTAAATACATTCATAGTGGAGAGGTACATGCAAAGTGCTGAAAGGCAAAATAGTCCCCAAAAACAGGTTTAACACTTTCTCTCAACATTTTTACACCATTTTCCACATTATATAAAAAACTCAGACGACGTGTGTAGGTTCACTGGTAATTTTAGACAGTAAATACAATGGATATATTTGCATTGTAGACATTGTAACCCCCGGTTCCTATCACCACCACCAAAAAGAAATCAGTCACCAAGCCAGTAAGTTCCTCTACAATGCACCATTTCACATCAGGCCACTCTGATTTTGTTGACATCTCAATGATTGAACTATAAATAAATTAAGAAAAATTGGTAGAATTCCTCAAATCTTTAGTTGATAACCTTAGCTACCTAAAAACTAAGATTTTAATCCAGTATGAATCTGCACTGCTTGTAGTTTTTACAAGTCTACAACGTCTATTCAAATATCTGGCCATGGCAGTTTTTGCAGCATAGCTGCTAATAGTATTGATGAAAGACCGACTGCAGTTGAAGAAAAGGTCAGGAAGAAGAAATGGACGGCACATGAGGGTTACGGTATGCAAAGGCCCAGAAGGTTCAGAGCTAACAAAGCGCTCGTCAGCCGAAACAATAAGTGGCCAATGATTGGAACCCCGAACACTGCCGCCTCGCTTCCTGTTCCAGGCACCGATTGTTTATCTGCGGCCAGTTGTTATGACCGTTTCCAGGAAGTGAACTCAGGCTTAAGCGCGAGCCCCATCAGGAAATGGATTCCCCTCATGAGAGGGAAAACTTCTTTCGGGCCAGTTAATCTCTCCGGAGAGAGTCTGTGAGGTCAAGAGTGACAGTGCTCGTATGGATTGAACAGAACTGATGCTTCAAGGCCCAGAACTGACTTACTATTTCCACCTTCTTCCAGTATCTGTCTCTGTCACTTACACTTTCTCTTCTTCTCTTCCTCTGTGGCCTTTTTCTCGGCTAGGTTAGTCACTATTCACTCAGTCAGTAGGCGTATCACATGTTGTCTGGACGCTTGAGCTTTATTTTTGGAAAGGGAGCAAGACGATAAGCCAGCGTTTTTGGTGTCATGCATTTGCTACTACTGTTTTTTAACATACTTTTAGCCATTTTTATAGATCACAGTATGTCATACAGTGTCCGAAACAACACAGATTACTTAACAACTCAAACAGATCGCAAAGATTAACAACTAACTTTGGGCACCAAGTGTGTCTTGGTTAAGCGACTACATTTGAGGAAAGGCGAAAGAAAGTGTAAATTTAACTTGTCACCAAGTATTACATTAACACAGCCTGTGCACACAATTATGCCCACAGTTCCATTGTGGGGCATGTTGGGGCCTGGCTGTCTGTTACACCATTTGCCAGATCTGGGCGGTTAATTGTCAACAATGAGGTTTACCTGCATTGAGCCTGGTTGTCGCCCTGTGCCTGAGAACACGGGAAGCATGGGTGAGATGGAATGTTCCAACCCGAATGGAATGAAATAAAAAACACTGCTGCAAAATAACAAGGCCAACAGGTTATCAAATGCTGTTTGAGTTTAGTGTTTTTCAGTGAGCCACCATATTATTCTGTTCCCTTAAAACAGTATTCTTCAAAATACAAAGTGTCAAAAAGGGTTCTACGTTTGGGTTTCTAAAGAGCTTTTCAATGGATGGTTCTTTTAAAAAGTTGAAATCACTTAAGTGAAAAGTTTGGTATCATTTTATACGCTGGTTCATTATTTAGTGTTTAAGTTCTTATTAACTAAGTGGGAAGTTATTGAACGTTGCCATAGTAGTTCTTCAATACCAGGTTGACTAAAGTTTATGTTAGGTACCAAACTTACCATACATGTAAATGAGTTCTTAACTTAAGCTTAAATTAGTAATAAGTAGTATATCAGTTCTCCATCACATTCTCTTCTGTATAATGAATTGCAATGTGAAGAAAAGTGTAGTAATTTAGAAATCAATCTTTAACCAATCAATCTTTAACTACATGTTTCAAGACCAACTACTGTGCTGAAATAAGTGTATAGTCTGGGTAACCAGTGTTGAACCTCTGCGATTGGTATACAGTCTAGGACTAAGCATAATCCCCTTTTGAGAGACCGACCCTTGGTATTATCCAAATGTCTATTGATTTACACAGTTCTTATTTTAAGATTATTGAGATATTCCTTACTGATATGGCAATATTTCTTTGTGACTGAACAAATAAACTGGAAATCAGAGCCATTAACCATACAAACACATAATTTAACTGCCAGTAATTATTTAAAAGCTAGTAATCACTGACAACCTGTTATGATACTAGAGTGGTAATTATCAGTACCTGTAGGTATGTTAGATAACTGTTCTCTCCATACTGCTGTTAAATTGGGAGTCCACTAGTTCACATTTACTAGAAGCTTTATATAGTTAACACATAATGCTTGGTTAAATGCAACTTAGAGATTAATTAAGGAATCTGTAAACATGTAGTTACCACAGTGGTTGAAGATTACTCAAGGTTACTAAGATCATTTATTATAGGTGTAGAAGAACTTAATGAATAAGTAATATCAAGTAACACTTGATCATATCATATTGGTATCAGCAGATCTTTAATCAAAAATGATTGGACAGATATTTAAATTTGACCGATCATCCAAACCTGTATTTGATGACGCATTGATTGTTTTTGACGCATTGATTGTTTTGACAGAATTAAAAAATGTCTCCATTTTATTCATTTTCCTGCATTTGTAACCCCACAGAAATAATACAGTTGCAAAAGGTTGGGAACCCCAGTCAAATGTTTTAAAGTGAAAAGAAGTATACACCCTCTACAGAGAACAAATTTATGCACACTTTAGTATACAATTACTGTTTATTTGCTGAATTTAACATATTGGGGAAAAAACAAAAGAAAAACATAAAACATGACGTGCAAAAGTTATAGCACATTTTATATATTGTTTTATTTTTTCCAATATGTTAAAATATGAAACTATTTAAGTTTGTTCCCTGTAGCCACTGTGTTATTTCCACTTCAACAAAACATGTATTTTTACAGGCATATGACTATTTCTCCAGGTCGATTAGTCCCAATTTCAGCATTTTATGCATGTTTATGTATCGCATCGCCAGATACATACATGAAAAATATTAAATATCAGCATCGGCACATAATCCCCATATTGATGCATCCATAGATTGCTTGATTACAAAAGAAACGTGCTAATACAAGACTATTGATGTCAGTGTCTGTACAGCATGCTATTCTTTATCTGCGTTTCTGATCATAATTGCTCTTAAGCACATTTGTCAGTAGAAACATCAAGGTTATTCCATCAGTGAGGCATATGTGCCTTCAGGGGCTTCGTTTGCCTTGTTCTCCTCTACAGGTCTCCAAATGGTGTCTAAATCCCTTTAGTCCTTCAGGAGCTATGATGTTATCTGTCGTCTCTATGAATCGGCACAACGAGGAATGTTCTGGAACAGCTTCGGCTAAACTCGCCAGACCTTTCAGACACAAGACAAATGAAGTTTGTGGAATGCGACGCTCTTCCTGTTTTAATATTATACTGCTATATTATCAAAGCGAGTCCTCATATTTCTTTGGTGGTCGGACTCTTTGGCTCCTGCAGATAAATGTGTGTCCTAATATATTTCAACGTTATCATAAGTCAGCTGGAGAATGTTTGTTCTGATCGTAGTGAAGGTATTTATCTCTGTGCCATAAAAACACACTTGCCCTAATGGCTGAAAGACCATCTCCAATTTGTCATAATCATAAATCTTCATGGTTACGATAACACTGAGGAGCTTTTTCAGTAGCCGGAGGGTACGGTGACCATTCAGAAATGTCCTTTGTAATTTCTTGCAACCTCTGTTTGGTATTCATGAAGTTCTTTTTCATACAATGATGTGAAGGTCCAAGGACATCAGAGAGTAAATGAGAGTCAGAGACAATGAGAATGAGTCACATACCGAGGGAAGGAGATTGAACTAGACTGGGATCACTAGGCATCAAAATGGAAATCTGATAGCAATCTGATACAAAAGGAACAGTGTCGCTCGAAAAAGGGTTCTCCTCGTTTTCATTTCCCACATTTTAGAATAATAGTGAAGACATCAAAACCACAAAATAACATATATGGACTGAGGCAGGGTCCAAAAACCCTTTGCAGTATTTCAGGCAACTTCTTGAGAACCCACCTGAGATGCTTCCATCTTGTTGGCTTATAAAAATTACGTGTTACAGGGCCATTTCAGTTTTTTTAATTTATTGATCAGGATCAAATCTATTTGCCTAAACCCAATTTGGACAGCATTAGTTTTACATGGGGACGTCTGCACATCTGTAGTATTTTGAGAAATTTTGGTATTTTTAAGAAATTTTGGTATTTCTTACCAAATTACAGAGACGGGAGGGGCTACTCAATTCATGCACTGCCATCACACCAAAAAAGGTTCTATATGAAAGGCTCATTAGTCATTTAGAGTGGTTTAATGTGAAATGGTTCATTGTAGAGAAACTCACTGACTTGGATTTCTGTACAGTGGTGTTGACAGGAACCAGAGGGTTGTGATGTCTACAATGTAAATGTAGCTATTAAATTACTAGTAAACCTACACGTGTCTGAGTTTTATGCATAATGTTTATAATGACAAAATAGTGGGAAATCTGAAAAAAATGGGTTTTCACTGGGGACTGTATTGCCCTACAGCACCCTGCATGTACCCCTCCACCATGCATGCATCCATTTGAGGCCTTCTTTAGAAGCAAATTTTAAGCATTTAAGCATCCACCTGTAGATCAGAATGTCTTTAGCATTATTAATATCATACATTCAGTGAGGTGTTTTCAAACTTTATACTGACACTGACAGACAGTTTGGTTTGCTAACTTGTGTAACAATACAACACTGTCAAATAATCACTCAGACTGTCTGCAGATAGAGAGGAGTCACCGCAATCAGAGTGAGCGTGCGCATGTGTGTGTCGGTTTCCTCAGTAGTCGGGTCATAACAGAGTAATTATGAACATTATCAGACAGTAAACAGGACACAAAGCTGAGAGAGTTTGGTCTGCGTCTGAGCAGCTGTGACTCAGATTCCTCAGATATCAGCAGCCGTTGGTTCACCTTAAGTGTGTCTCAGACACTACAAGGTAAACACTCTCTAACAATGAAGAAGAATTGCCCCAGAAGAATTTTAGAGGCCCGTGCTGTTGTTATTAGAGATATTGGATTCTGCAGAACCATCAAAAATGTGTAAACAGGAAAGCTGGTGGGTGGAGCCCACAGAGACAGTAAACAAGATTTGTTTCTACAAACAGTAAAATAACCAAGCATCTTAAAAAACTGTGGGCTTTCACTGTGAGCGGCTGATATGATGATGTTATTGTGATCTATTACAAATTTGCTTCACAGTACACTTTCCTGTGTATTGTGGGTATCGTTAGTATTTTTTGAACACTGAACAACAGCATGCATCATAAAACAACACATTTGGACCAATTTTAGAGAACCTGAAAACTACAACAACCAGCATGATTGCATAAACTCTCAACTAAAAAATAGTTGATGAGTTGTCAGCCCAGTATGCTATTAACTTATTATATCAATTTATTTTACATTTATTTTTGTTGTCTTGTTCCTTTGTAATTAGGTTTCGCAGATGTTTAAAAAAAGAAAGAAAGAAATATTATGCTCTCTTGAACTCTTGATTACTATGGCTGTGGTGTCACTAGAGATCTGGTCTCCAGTGCTTAAATGGTTGCATTTGTCCTGTCGTCATATGACAAGTTCAGTCCCCAGCGATGCCACAGCTATCCTTAGCCAGGAGTACAAGACAGCAGTACTGACCTCACTCTTTCTTGGTGGGTACAATGCTGGCCAAGCGGCATCTGACATTGCATTAGCAGCAGTTTAAAAAGATGTGGTGGCAGTTCAGGTGTTAGCCTTCAACCTCCAAGCTTGGAAGTATCGTGTGATAGTGGGAGACCTAGCTAATAGGTTGGAATTGGCCAAAATTATATTGGGGAAATTAAAAAAAAAAACAGTCATATATTTTTTTCAACATTTTGTAAACATGGATTTTGCTGGTGCATTATGTCCAGTACAGCTTGTTTATAAACTTTAGAAAAACTGAATATCATGAAAACATATATCTTGTATCTTGAAGGTGCTTTCACGTATTGTGATGTGTTTTTGCCATATTGGCCACTCTTAACAACCACTAGATTTTAGCGAGGAGGAATCTAAAAGGTGGACTTTGGGTAGACGGCGTTTTTCAAGAATGTGCTGAATGTTCCATTCTGAGAGATATGGGCAGCTCACCCACCAAGTTGAGGTATTAATCATTTACGCAGCTGAAAATGACCGAAACCGACCAAAGGCCAGAGTCTGTCTCGCTCTCTCCCTAAAGAGCACTGATAAGTGCTTGAAGCCCTTCTATTGCCAGAGGTGATCGCCAGTGCAGGTCATTAGTATGCACAGTGTCTGATCTGAGAACAGCCTGCTCTCCCACAGCATGAATTTTTCACCTAGCGTGACTCTGCTCTTCTGAGAGGGCAACGAGAGAGGAATAAAGAGCAGAGGGAGAGTGACAGAATGAGGGAGAGCAGAGAGATATGAGAGAGAGAGATAGAAATGCGAATACTCTTGAAAAAGTTATTTAGGGATAACCGCTGCGCTAATCACACTGAAGTCTGTTTCAGCCTTTGACTCAAACATGAAATGTTTGTTTACTCTGTTATGTTTACATAAACATGTTTTTCTCTCTCCATTTCAGTGGTCTGGGCTACATCCTGGGATCCAGCGCTAAGGATGCTGCAGGGGACTGGCACTGGGCTCTGAGGGTAAGAGCTAGCTCTGTTTGAAGTGTGTATCTATGTATGTGTGAGAGTAAATGAGGACAAAAGTAGCGTTTTGGATATGGAGTGGTGGACCAGTGCTGAAAAAAGAACACATTCATAAATGAACACACAATACTCGAACAAGCAAACAGACTTTTGCAGACATCATTTTACATTGCTTTGCTTTATTACTATGGATTTGTCAGGCTGGGATGAACTGGTATTTTACACATCTGTAATTAGACCTGTGTTGGCGTTTGGTGGTAATTCGATATGCAGCAATAATAAGCATGCACCGTAATGCCCTTGTGGACACTTTAAAATACCACCACTGCTTTTAGTAGCCTGTTTACCCCTTGCATTTACATATGTTTAGTGTCCACGATGTATCTGGATAAACATTGGCCAGATTCTGTTTATACTTTTCATTAAAATATGTCCACAGTGTGACCAGATCAGATCCAATTGAACTTTTTCCTGTGTGAAAAGCACATCACCCCATCACGCTCCCATTACAATATGACTTAAGTGTGGTACGGACACTCTCATCGACCCAGAGTGAAAGAAAGCACTTGATTTGGGTAAAAAGCCTCGTACATCCTCGATCTTGTGTTTCCTTGCTCACCTGCTAGTCATCACATCAGAGTGAAAGAGAGGGAGTTTGTGTGAGAGTATATAGGCATATTCCTTCGAATGAAAAACAACTCCAACACAGAAAATCACTCATTAAAAGCCCGAAGTTGCACATGAAAAATCGTCCTGTCCTAACCCAACCTGAAACCCGATATTTATTCAGGTCCCATAAGGCTTGAGTCGGGTAGCAGATCTCGAACACATACACCCCCCCTCCTTCCTCACTTCCTCCTCTAAAACACCCATCTTACCCAGAGCAGACAGGTGAATCCCAAAATACTTTCTGGAAAAAGCAACAGAGCATTCATTACGCTGCGATCCTATAGAGACTGCGCTGACAGCCGAGCAAACCGCGGCACTTTAATTTAGCATTACCACCATCTCTCTGGGGTCCTACTCGCACCGGACATATCAAATATCCCCTCTAGCACTACACTTAGGTCTTAGTGCTAGCTCCCACCCCAAGATAGGCTTTCACTACTCTTCCCGATTAGGCAGGGGAAGCACAAAGATGCATTTGTTTCAGGAAATTTCTCACTACCCTTGATATATCACAGCCCCCTTCTGAAAATACCACAGTGAATAGCCACCTTCTGTGTAACGCTACCAGCCAAACGTATTTAGGCACGAGAGGAAGAGAAATAGACACTGTCCTCCACCTTCTGTGAGGACAGAGAGGAGGTGCAGAGAAGAAAGGGGAGATGCAGAGGCTGCTGAGAGTCTCAGGCTGACGAGCAGTGAAACAGGAGAAAGGAAAACTCTAACAGAGCCTTGTAAAGGCAAAAGGCCCCCAAGGAAGTACTTAGAATTCTGCTCCTTTTGCTTCATTTCATAAGTCCATTCCACCACACAAGCTGGGCCTCTTTTTCTTCTTCTTTCCTTTCCATAAACTTTAACAGGTGAATGCTAAAGTTAACAGGTGTAGTTCATTACCAACTCCTATTGTGTCTTAAGGAGCAAAAAAGCTATTATGGCTATACAGTAACCACAGTGTGTGGCCACCTCATAAAGGAAGAACTTAGGCAAAGAGCCAAATTTACACAGCTTTGTTGTCCAAATGTTGCTTTAGTTGCTCACTGGATCGGGGTGGTTAATATAGCTAACAGGAGCAGATAGCATTGCGCAAACTGCATGCCTTAGTCTCAACACATACATTTCTTAGTCTGAAATATTTATGCTTATGTGGTTTCTGCATGAGATGGAAATATCAATAAAAATGGGAAAAATTAGACAAATTTCAAGCTTCAGGATCCCACTACTGTTTTAACTAGGGTATATAATTTTTTCCCGATATTGTAGATAATCCATTGATTCTCAAAGCAGTCCTCAGTGATTTTTCATCCAACCTAACTTCTACCACATAGGAATAGAGCAAAACTGTGGACTGTCTGGGGGTCCCTGAGGACCTGTCTGAGAACCACTGGGCTTCCAGATTACATTTGGGGAATACTTCATAAATGTGATTTGTCACCAGACGCCTTTCTTAGCCATGCACTTCAGGGTTGTCTCAACTCAACAAGAGCTGTTCTCCACACGACAGTTATGTGGGCTTCGGAAGCATCGGCACCATTTTTTGTGCGGCTTGTTTTTCAAAGTTCTCATCCAAACAGAAATGCTCTGTCACATTGTTCAAGAGTAACCTTCTGCCAAAGAGACTTCTGGAGAAGAAAGGGGGGTGGGGGGTGTTTGCAAAGGGATTCGGGATTCTGAGGGCAGTTAATCATCGTCTGCATTTTAAACAAGCAGAAAAATAACAATCAGATGAGAAAGGGCTCCCTACCAGCCGTATCCTGCTTTAGAGGGGGGAAAAAACACTGTGTGCTGCTTTCCGCTTGTTTGCACCCCTCCTGAGGACGTGGCGGTCTTCCTTTAAAGAAAAGAGGAGGTAGAGAGATTGAATGTAGGACAAAATCTTTTTGGAAGATAAATAGAATGACCTGTGGAGAACTACAGAGGAGTTATGGAGGGAGAAGGCAGCCATATTTGATGTTAATCTTCTGCATGCCTAGTTCTTTGTTGTCTCTATGGACTGTAGTTGGTCCAAACGTTACCTTTAAGGGAATCTTTATGTAAATCAAATTTATACAGACTTTTACCTTAGCACAACTGTTGTCGATCAATCTAGACATTATTAGTGTCTGGATTTTTCATCTTTTGCACTCAAGTTACGAGACGAATATAGCTAATGAGTAATCATTTGTTTGTTACTCAAACAAATAGAAACATGCAAGCTACATTAATACATCTGTAAACGATTTACACTTGCCTTAAACAGTGTCAATCTCAAATGGATTTGTGGTTTCAGACTCTGTATGACATAAAAAAAATCAATCACTTTACATATACATCTTTATATTTACACACAAGGTCAAAAAAACATTGTTTACCACATCACAATATAATACAGTATATCTGTAAAGCACTGCTTGGTCGATGACTGAACCCCCGCATCCCTCATGAGGTTTTTTTTTATAGCTTGTCCACTGGATGTGATGTTGTGAATCTGCTGGGATGGCAAAACTAGAGCAGCACAATAGCAGTAGGCTTAATTGCTACATTAGCTTTGTAGCTCCAGTCCAAAACTAAAGAAGCCATCTTTGGACATCAAACATCTTCAGACATCAGTGTTTTGGCTGCTCAACTATATTTGGAGTTGTGTACACTGGATTTTTCAATGAATTATTGCTTTAACGCTGCTGTGAAGCCAAAGGGAAGAGGTGAGAGTGGACAACAGTGCTTCTGTAAAGGTCTCTGTGTTTGGGGCGTGTTAGAGTACAGGGCTAATAAACCAAAGCCTGAATTACAGCACAGACTGCAGCTCCTCATCAAAGCCCTGCAGTACACACACACACACACACACACACACACACATACACACACACACACACAGGCAAGGCAAAGGAAGCATGGCTTAATGCATCAAACAGCAGCAGTCAAGTGGATGAGACTCGCGTTCACTCTTTCTTCTCGTCCGCAGATTCATAATGCAGCAAGTGAGAGTAAACACACACACACACCAGAGCTGAGTATTAAAGTGGCATAAAATATCTGCAGGAGGATTCCATCTGACAGACAAAATTGGTTTTGCTTTCACACGGGATGGACCTCTGAGCATTGCTTCTCTGTGGACACACACCCCCACACACACCCGTATAAACACACACATTTGCACACACTCACGCATGCACACAATGCAGAGAATATTATAAAAAAAATGATAAAGAAAATAATAGCTGGTGGCCTGGTGGACTGCAGCTGCTTCCACATGGAAAGAGAGAGTGAGCGAGAGGGACAGAGAAAGAGTGTGAGAGAGAGAGTGAGTTGAGTCTATTCAACACTGCAGAGTCAAATGCATCACTGAGCTGCATCATAAGGTATGAGATGAGAGCTCTGCCAGATTTGCACAAACGCAGATTGGTCTTCAATGCGAGCGCCAATCGTTAAACTTTGCCAGTATAGAACAATAAGGGCAACAATTAGGGCAACTAAAAGTACAACAGTTAGAGATAACATGATATCACTTTCTGCACACTGATACAGTTATTGAGACCTTGAGTATCGACCAATACTGATACTGATCTGACGTTTTTCTTTAAAATCTACAGTTGGAAAAAAAATTTGAGTGCTAAATTTAGCCAAGATCAATATTTGACTATGTACAATATAAATTTTGTAGTTGGTAATTGTGACTTGTTTTAAAGATGTCATCAGTGGGTGGGTTCATATAATCAGTAGAACTGTTTAGTGGGTCGGTGATGTATGCTGAGGAAGGCCGTGTGCTGAAATGCATTTGTGCCTTTTTTGTAAAATTGAAAGAAGTAGCATTAATGAGTCAGGAGAGAAAAAAAAACACACCACAGTATGGTGTCTGGTACTGCTGCGAGTCGCCCTGTAAAGCCCGAACTAACAGTCTAAAAGTCACAGGTGTCTGGCTGGATTTCCGAAGCACAACTCACGTTGCAAAATGTTCTTTTGCATATCGCATACTATTACACATTTCCACCAAAGAGATCACCAGATCCTCAGAACTTACATAGTGTAGCTTTAACAAATGCTCGGTAAATTATACCAGTGCTGCCTTACTTCATCTTCTTTAAAATCTATTACGCTTTAAAATGTACTGTTTTTAATTGAATCACTTAAACGTGGCTATCATACTCATACTTCTCAAACAGTATACCAAACCAATAGAAATACACAGCTAACCTCACCACATAAAACAATGCAGGAGTGTGTTATTTTGGGCTAGATTTGTTAGAGGATCAGATCATATTGATCCTTTTTTCCCAACTCCAGTATCCAGCATTTTCTGTTCATATTGGTCCAACATGGATACCTGGTATTGGATCATTGCCATCTTTAGCATCTTTTCTCCTTAAATCCACAAAAACGTTTGCATAATAATGTAAATTCCTTATTATGTACATGAATGGTTATGTTGCCCATCCCTAGTTCCAGCTGGCAAGTAGCTAAAAAGCCGTTCTCTCCTGTGTGTAGGTGTCTCCCCTGTTGGGCATGACCGCTGGAGCACTTATCCTGCTCTTCGTTCCTGAACCCAAGAGAGGCAGTGTTGACCAGCCCAGCAGCCGCATGAAAACCCGCACCTCCTGGTTCTGTGACATGAAGGCCCTCGGTAAAAAGTAAGAAATCCTCCTGCTTTCTGTCTTCTTTGTGGAATTTAGAGTAGGAGAAAATAAGGCTGAAATGCAGAAGCAGTAGAGGCGGCTTGTGAAGCAGGCTTGTGATATCACACATTATTCTAGATCTGTTAAGGGGTTTTAATTACTTTCAGAAGGTATGAAAGAGAGAGAAAGAGAGAGGAAAGATGACAGAGAGAACACCCCTAAGAACACCCTTGAAACAGAAAATAGAACTGCACAATGTACACAGTTGAATGCAAAACTTTGGGAGTCCATGTTTTGTTAAATTTCATCCTTTACAGAGAACAAACTTCTGCACATTTTAATTCACAATTACTGCGTATTTGCTGAATTTAATATATTCGGGAGGAAAAAATCAACAAAACATTTCAATTTATGAGGGGAACTCAAACTTAGCGTAATCGCAGTGTTGAACCTACTGATATCGCATTATGGAAATAACCTCAGATTATTATAACAGATTATTAATTTACTGTGTGCTGTGGGCATCTTGAATAACCACAGTGCCAGATAGGTTTCTGTGGAAGTCTGACTCAGGGCATTCGATATGAATGGTGGGTCATATGGCAAAAATATAACATCATGATACTTGAAGACATTTTCACGATACACAAGATTCCAGTATTTCATAAAATAAGTGGCAATCAAGCAAATGGTAAAAATTAAAAAATAAAATAAGATAATGGCTTAATGGGTTCACACCTATTTAGCTACTTGTGACTACACAGTCTATGTAGTTACTTAACATTGGTTGTTTATACTGGGTCTCTACAATTGGCGTAAATAGTGTGATTAATCATGATTACGATAAAATGCCATATTGCCCACCACTGAATAAAAAGTATGCAAGGCAACCTCTAACCATGGTACATCGTGTTGTTTTGCTTATATCATGCAATTCTACCCTCATTTGTTTTTGTCCACTCTAGCCGGAGTTACATGTTCTCCTCTCTGGCCTCAGCGGCCGTGTCATTTGCGACGGGAGCATTTGGCATCTGGATCCCACAGTATCTGTTCAGAGCTCAGGTGGTGCAGAAGACCGCCGTGAGCTGCACTGTCCAGCCCTGCAGCAGCAGAGACAGGTAGGTACACTCAGAGACTGAACATAAAGTCCACACACAGAGTGAGAAAAGCGTTCTTCTTCACAGTCGTATGCAAAAGTTAGGGACTTCATGTATATATTTTGTTTTTTATGTTTTTGTTTATACTCCAGTTTCCTTCCACAGTCCAAAGACATGTGGTCAGGCCAATTGGACATGTTAAATTGCCCCTAGGTGTGAGTGTGTGTGTGAATGTATATGTCTGTCTGTCTGTCCTGCGATGGACTGGCGACCTGTCCCCCCGCGACCCAGAAGGATAAGTGGCTTAGAAGATGTGTGTGTGTGTGTGTGTTTTGTTTATGTTTTGTTTTCAAAGAATTGAGAAGCAGCGATTTGGCAGGACGGGTGGTCTGATTAGGTTAAAGACTGCTTCTTGGATGGCTAGGCTAACAGAAACATCCGAATATAACTGTTTTATTATCGTTGTAATTGTCATTTAATGACTGGTAAAAAGCCGGTTAGGTTACAGTCTTTCTGTGTTTTTTTTCTTTGTCCAGCCTGATCTTCGGGGCCATCACTTGCGTGACAGGGCTACTGGGTGTGGTCATAGGTGCAGCCACCACGCGGTTCTGCCGTCAGAAGACGGAGCGAGCTGACCCGCTGGTGTGTGCCGTCAGCATGCTGGGCTCGGCCATCTTCATCTGCCTCATCTTCGTCGTGGCCAAGAAGAGCATCATAGGAGCATATGTAAGTGCCTCAGTCATGGGGATTAGAGTGGAGTAAACAGGAGACTGGAGTCAGGTTAGGGTTTGTTGTGTAGTAACACGAAAATGTATTTGGGTTCAGATGGCTGATCTTTGAACAGCAAAGTAGATTAATGAGCTCCAGCAGCAATGCTGTTTGATTCAGACCTCAAACATATCCTAAGGTGTTCTACATTTTCAAGCCCCTGCAAAACAGTAGTAGTAGAGGCCAGAGTTTGAACAGAAGTTCACTGCAAACCTAAACACTCTAGTAACAGTGTTTGTAAAGCCTGAATTTTGTTTGTACTTTTGTGTAGATAATAGTATGTCACACAAAGTTAGAAACCACATGATGAAGCGTACTAGACCCTGTTTACACCTAGTTCTTTCATGCGTTGAGTACTAGGATTGTATCTGGATATAGATATGCACGTCAAGATGCATAAATCAGATTTAAAACAGTTTGCTTAAGCCACTTTAGGTGGTCTGAGATGCATTTTAGCCAGATGATATACAAGTATAAACGCAGTTGGGTAAATCTTTACCTCACCTCATCTCACTATGATATGTTACAAATTTAAATTACATAGCTCATGACCGCAGTGACTAATACAGTTTTTCTCTGAACAGCCGTCTTCTTTTGAACATCAGTGTAATGTTGGTTTCATTTAAATTTAGTATCATATCATCGGGTTGGTAAACATTTATGCACAGTTAGCATCTAATTTAACAATAGACATAATCTATCAAACTAAGAAAACAAAACAAAAAGGACCTTAAATGAATGTTTAAAATGAAATAAGTAAAAGGACCCTACATTTCTTCAAATGCCCCATTTTTTAGCCTCCAGACTATACATTAACTTCTCCATTGCAAAATGAGCTCTATAAAATAATCCTATTGTACATGAGGCCATGAGTCAGCCTAACTTTCTGCTCTATTGACTCAAATAATGCCCATATGCTAAAACCCAGGAAGCACAGTCCTATAATGACTACTGGATTCACCCCAAGTACACTAAAGGAAGAGTATTACGTTCTGTATTATTTTAAAACAGTCCAAAAAGCTCTGGTGCTTTCCGGTGGTACGGACCCCTATGTGCAATTAAAGAAAATCATTGTGGAATGTACGCTGCTGTTTGCTTGTTTAATGGACATGCTAACCAGGAAAAGGGTGCAGTTTCACTAGACAGTGGTGGAAAACAATGGACCATGGCATGTTTTTGGACGGACCACTCTAACAAAGGGGAAAACTTGAGTCGTACAAGAAAACAAACTCACCCCTGGCTGCATTCTGTCAGCCGAGAGAGACAATAAAGTTGGAACAGGACTGTCAACGCTCTGAGAAATTAAAAACTCCAAAGCATCCGGAGTTCCCATATGAAAAATGTCTGTGATTAAAAGGCTTGATATTTTTAGTGACACTTAATGGTCTGGTCAGGTCTTGAGAAACAGTTCAAGTGCTGTTATTCAGTTTACAGCACCCTGTGCAAGCAGTGGAGGAGATTACTGAAACACCCTGGTGTTATTTTTCTCATAAATAGTTCTCCTTTCAGCTTAACTTTAACACTGAGTTCATATTGTAGCGTGTAAATGATCACAATAATATACTACTATATAATAGTATTCAGATGTTGTCTAATAATCTAAAAAAAATGTTTTATTACTTCTTTAGGTTTGTACTGGATTCATAAGGTTAATGCAATGGATAATAATACCCCACCAATCAGCAACAAGTAAACAACTTTCTTAAATCATACAACCTTGCCTCAAACCGTGTCAAGACACTGTATGAATGATATCCATAGAAGCCTTTTCCTGCCAGGCTCAGGAGAAAAGAATCACTGATGTTTTTTCCTTCTCTGTTTCTGGCAGCAGTAGATCACAAATTTAACTTTCTATGTCAAAGTAATGAGTTACTTTTTTAACTCATAGCTTGCTGTGTTAAAATAATGAAATATTTTTTTTTAAATGTTGGTTAGTTAATTATAATTCTATACTTTTAACTAAATATTTATTATTATATTTATTATTATAAATTTAGTGCCTTCAAATTACTCATTCTAATAACATTGGAATGTTTTTCTTAACTTAAAATGTTGAAATAAGAAGACAAGTATTGACATAAATAAGGCATAATTTTGACACTAATTCAAAGTCTTGAAAAGTCACTCAAGAGATAAGAATTCAGTTATTTAAGTAAGTTAGTCACTATTTCAAAACAAAGTGAAAATCTTGAGAAATTAAGTCATTCTTTCGAGATAATTCAAAATCTAAACCTTTTTCCTCCTCTATCTGGTGGGAATGGGTTACTGTCAATATCAGTTAATATCTAGGGCTGAATGATTAATTATATCGAAATCGCAATTTAAAAGAGTGCAATTTTTCAAATCACAAGAGCTGCAATTTTGTGCTTATATGCTACATCATCCACAGCTGTCTCAGTGTGGAGAATTTTAACTTTGTGCAGAGTTCCTGAATTGGCATTCTGGCACACTACATTCAGTACTTTAACTTCAAATCCGAAAATATGTAATATTGGTTAGAAAAACCACAATTAGATTTTAGACCTATTTATAAACTGAAGAAAGTAATTTGCATAGTTAAAAACAATAATAGCAGGCATCTGAAAGCTTCCCAATTTCAGACATATTTGAAATTATGTAACATCTTGAGATTTAGATGTGTAGTTTGCACAATGCTAACTGTTATGGTGTAAATTTCCATTAGCTACATTAGCTTCATAGCTTCAGTGTATACATAAAAAAGCACATTTCAGACACCAAACAGGTCTTGGCTGATCGACTACATTTTGGGAAAAAAAATCCTTCCTTTAACACAAGACGCAAGAATATAATACATGTATTGCGTGTAATGCAGATCTACATTTGTCGCTCAAGAAGTTGATAGAAGCTTCTGGAATTTTCCATCTGACGACCCGGCTGTAGTGGTGTCCGTATTGTGAATAACAAACGGTAGACAGGGAATGTACAGCTTCAAGTAGCAGAGGAAGTGTGATGGTGACAGATGTGGAGTCTGAGAATGTGACAGAGAGAGAGAGAGGCAGGGAATGAGGGAAGAAAGAAAAAGAGAGAGAGTTCCAGCTGAGACAGCTGCCATATTGTGCGCCGAGCCGCTGATCAGACTTCAGGCTTTCTCCACAGTCCAGCAGGATTACTCTCTCAGTACGTCAGTCACGCTGTCTGAACCTTAACTATCACACACACTCTCTTGCATTCCACTCAGGCATGCAGAGAGACATCCTCCTTGAAGACAGGCTTCACATACGCTCGTGTGCAAATTTTTGGGCGCCCCCTATCTAATTACATTTGTGCACATCCTCTTGTACACACTTTAACATACTGGAAAAAATAAACCCTGGCATGTGCAAAACTTCTGGCACATTTCATACACTAAAATTTGCAGGAAAATCCTATATTTAAGTTCCCTTTTCAAAGTGAACATAGTTATGTATTTATTTTCAATGTAAATGCCTGAGAAGCTATTAGAGGGAGAGTGAAACACAAAAGAGGGATAAAATAATGGACAAACAAAAGCAACAAGCAACAAACAAAACCCCAATGATATGATAATCCATTACACCACAAGAAAAGGTTGTCAACATAAACCAACAAACACCAAAAATGAACACAAATGATGGGTCTACAATAATCCGTTATCAGAAAAGCAGGTACTTGCATCTATACATATATCCTTTATATACAGTCATATGCAAAAGATGGAATATCCCCAGAACAAAAGCCTGGCCTTGTATGAATGGACGTAACTGCCCTGGGCTATTGCCAAGATGACCGCTGAGTGAACAGACATTCCTATAAAGATTCTGGTTTAACATATTGGCAGAAAAAAGAAACATAAAATATGAAATGTGCCCTAACTTTTGCACAGGTCATGTTTTATGTTTTATTTTTGTTCCCAATATGTTAAATGTGACAAGCAGTAATTGTGTATTAAAATGCAAAAGTGTGTCGAGGACGTGTTACCGTATTTTAACTTATGCATAGAAAATCAAGAAAAACATGTAATTTGACCACACTTTTGCACACGACTGTGTCTTGAAATGAGAAATTGAGCTATTCTTCCAGTTTGAATGTTTTTTGCAGTGTGTTCCAATCTTTTTCAGCAGCAGACTGAAATGATAAAGAGACACAAGAAATGTTGGTTTTAGGGACTAGACCACTGATCTGGCTGACCCTAAAGACAATGACACAAGGCCTGCCAGCTGCTGCCAGCTGTGTCTGCAGCTCAGAGACTCACACAGCGATCGCTTACGAAACTCAATACTTGCATTTTAATTCACCGTTAAGCAATGAACGTCCCAACAAGCAGACAGAGCTGAATGGCTGTTACTTGCTGTGGGAAATTGTTTCATTTTCTCTGGAGACTCAAAAGAAAGTCGTTAAATTGAGTCTCTCATTGAAAGCTTCGTTCTAGGTGATTTCTGCCTCTGTTTCTGTAGTCTGGAGGAAAAAAGAAATATGCTCAATCACCCCAAATTGAGTATTACGTTCCAAAATAATGCGACCACAACATAATAGCATGTTTTCATATTCCAAAACAGTTCTGTGGGTTTTTCTTCTTTGATTCAAGCGAAGCTTCATCGTTGACCTGCAGTGAGCTGACATTAATACATTCTTAGATGACAGATTCAGTGGTGTTTTACTGCAACGATGAACTTCACAAATTCTCTGTCTCTCTCTTCCATCAGGTCTGCATCTTCATAGGAGAAACACTGCTCTTCTTGAACTGGGCCATAACGGCGGACATTTTAATGGTACGTATCGAGAAGCCTGTATTTATCCACCAGGCTAAAAGAGAATAACTCTCACAGAAAGAAGGCTGGTCGTATTCTCAGGCTTGTTTCTCATTTGGCGTGGTAGCTGTAGGCTGGGTGGAGCTCAGGCCGTAATTGCGGCCTCTGATTGAGCTTAATGTGAACACCACTCGCGGAAAATAAAACAGAATAACAGTTTCAGGAGAGGCCATGTTTTTGAGTCTGGGTGAAGCGTGAGGGATGGGCATTAGAGCTAGACAGAGCTGAGCAGCAAGAGAGAGAACAAATGAGTGGAGGGGAAGAAATGTTAATCATTTTAAATGAAATCTTTTTGTAACTAAATATGGTCATTCTGATAAAGTTAACTGATTTCCATTAAATTGAAAGGAAGGGAGAGACAAAGAGAGAAGATAAGGGGGGAGAAAAAGAGGAAGAAGGAGCTTGAGAGGGCAGAATGAGTGAGAAGGAGAAGGAAAAGAAAAGAAAAGAAAAGGGGAAACAAAAAGAGCTTGAAAGAGAGAGATAGAGAAAGAAAAGAGACAGGACTACAGAGAAAGAAGGAGAGAAACAGACAGGACTAGAGAGAGAGAGATAAGGAGGGAGAAGGAGAGAAAGAAGGAAAGAGACGGCGAGAGGGAGGGAGGGAGAGGGAGAGAGAGACCGAGAGAGAGAGAGAGAGAGAGAGAGAGGACAGACATAGACAGGACAGGAGCATAAAGTTGACTGACCTAAATGAAATAGGACTTCTCGCAAAATGCAGGAACCGGCTGACCTCTTATCCTGCCCAGCGGACACGCACAGCAGAATGTGAGAGAGAGAGAGTGTGTGTGTGTGTGTGTGTGTGTGTGTGTGTGTGTGTGTGTGTGTGTATGTGTGTGTGTATGTGTGTGTGTATGTGTGTGGTAAGAGGTTATAGAGTGCACTGTTCCAGAGATACACCAACATTGCAGTGTCAGGCTCCACTCAGTTACTCACCTCCAGCCAGCTTAACTCAAACTGACAGTGCTGGAAGTCAACAGCAATTAGGTGAACAACCTCTGCATAATCCAGCACTCCTGGAATTTCTGTATTTCTGCTGTGGAGGGATTTGTGGAATTATTCCATTTTATTAATTCATTTATTTTAGTGCTGTCACAGTCGATTATATTATTCATTGAGAAATTTACCTCAAAGAAGGTCAAACAATAAAATTTGACTTAACTGAATGATAACAAACCACGCATACCCTTTCAAAAATTACAAAAGACTTCATTATACACAGACAACTTGGAATCCTTTAACCCTGTCGTACCAAGCGCCTCGCTGGCTATTCATTCTGAGAATTTGGAAACGTCCTGTTAAACACGTTTAAATCTACTGCCAGAGGAGTTATGGCGTTCGCATATTCATGGTGACCACAGTGCAACATAGCAGCACAAAGAATCGGGGTTTCTGCATGCTAGTGTGGATAAAAGATGCACAAGGCTTCCTTTATAGATGCACTGTGATTTTTTAACAGTAAGCTCATTTATTATTGAGTGGGTTTATCAGAGTAACTGATATGGTGTCTTCTAAAACGCAAACAACAAAAATCTATGATTTTCTTTTTAGATCACATTTTTTTACATATGAAATATATGCACAACAGCACTGAGAAATCACAGTGGAGAAGAGCAGATGTAGACATGCCTCAAAGATTTAAAACACTTCCTTCACTAAAACTATACAAAAATGCTATGTGCCAGAGAAATGCATATAAGTGGAGGTCCATTAGGCTGTTTCTCAATGTAAGAGACAATTATCCTGCACACTAATTGTTGATGATTCACTGAGAAGGTCATTGTTTTATCATTTATTGTTTAAAGGAATAATTGGGTTGAAATAACTGATCATGACACCCTTAATTTATTGCTTTTTCATTTATATATTGGGGCAATGCACATAAATTAAACCAGTTAACTGGCTAATTTGCAACTATCATCCCTGAGCCCTGATGTTATTTAACATTAACAATCCAAGTTAAATAAAGAGAGTTTATACACAGACAATCTAATATACAACAAACACACAGCACACCAAACACAACCTGCAGATATAAGACCGCAGTTACATGCAGGTGAGCCAGCATAGTAATATACAAGGTTCAAATTCTATTATATACTAACCTTCCCACCTCTCTCTCTCTCTCTCTCTCTCTCTCTCTCTCTCTCTCTCTCTGCAGTACGTTGTCATACCAACCAGAAGAGCCACTGCTGTAGCCTTTCAGGGTTTCACCTCACATCTACTAGGGGATGCTGGGAGTCCGTATCTAATAGGCCTGGTAAGTCTCTCTCACACACACAGGACAGCCCGCACCTCCATGTATTGAAACACCACCAGAATGATTGATCACATTTAAATGACTTCATTCAGTCTAGTGCAGGGGGTCTCTATCACAGTACTGGTGACCCCATGCTTTTTTGCATTTCCCCTAACACACCCAAACCAGCTCACAGACAGCTTGATAATGAGGTGATGATTTGCATGGAGTGTGCTTGAGAAGAGAAAACATAAAAATGTTCAGAGCATGGGGTCCCCCATGTTTAGAATTGGAAAGCACTGCAGTAGTGAGTTCTGCAGCCATGGTATTGGGTAACTGCTGTGTGTATTGAGCGCCACTATTGAGTGTTTGTACATATCCACACAGTCTTACAAATCAATACTTAATCTTTGCCTTGCACTTTAAATGGATGGCCTCTTTCCCCAGATTGGAAGACAAGCAGTTCTCAAAGATAGAAGAGACAGTTTGTTTCATGAAAAAGAAGGCTATAAGCTGAAGGCTTAAAGGGATAGTTTGGCCACACATCAAATTTACACAATTCTCCCCTTAGGCTGAACATGCTTGGTGTCTGAAGTGTGCCTATCTAATTTTGCACTGGAGCTACAATGTTAATGTAGCTAACAAGTAATTATACCTCTCCAATTAGCATTGCGCTGTCTATATGTCTAAATCGCACCAAGTAGTTAAAGATACACAGTGTAAGTTTTAGGGATTTGGAGACCTCTCTGGTGAAAATTTGTAATTGCATGCAACCTCACCAACTTGGTGAAGGATGTGTCTTCTGAAGATGTGAGTGACTTATTTAGTATTGCCATCAAATCTTTATCACTATAAGAATGATTTTGCATTTGAGACCTAAACATAGAGCTGGACCTTCTTTTTGAGTCTGTGTGTATGATGCTAATACATAAAGCTAATGACGCGATCCATATAAAGCCCTGCAAAATCTCACCTGAAAACTCTGACTTTTAAATTATTATTTTAGGCTTTACAGGGTGACTTGCAGCAGTGCACGCACACCATATTGTGATGTGTTTTAATTTGTCTTGACTCAGTAGGAAATTTCTTTCAGTTTAACAAAAACATTTACATGGTGTAGCTTTAAATAATCTCAGATTTGCTTGTGTGATTTTTGGCATATTTAGGACTGCTAAATTAGTCCCACCCATTAAAAAATAAAAATTGATTGGTTGGTTCCACTGTCACTTCCCAATTATGACAGTGACAAATCTGACAAGAAAGGCCTTCTGTCTAGCTCCTGAAGTCCTAACCAAACAGTTGCTTGGCTGTATCTACCTGGATACCATGAAAAAAACAACTCCTGATTGGACATTGTTCCATTGGTCGTTTTAAGATCTAAACCCTTCTGTTTAACAATAAAATAAGAGCATTATAACAATAGTTGCTGAATTTAAATACAAGCATGATGATTTTAATTATTTAATTTAAATAATTTAAATGAACTAAAAATTACAGTCGTATAAGTCACTAAGCCATTTCCTGAAAGCCTAGAAGGCCTAGAGGACACCTTACCAGTAACAAAGGCCATCAGTGACCTAAAGTGGAATTGTGATGAATTAAGTAAAGGCTTCAGTGTGTGCTTTAAGTAAAAGGCTTCTCAACATGAGTTTCCCTCTCCTGTCCTGGAGTGCCAGCTCTCTTTCCAGTAATGCCTCCACCCAGAGGGCTCCATGCAGATTCAGCTATTGTAAATGCCACTTACTGGCACACTCAAGGACATAAATACACAAAACTGTTCCCTTTGGCCTCTTTGAACACCTCTGGCAGACAATGGGCCCTCATTTCATAACGCCCGATGTTATTGTGCTTTCTTTAGGCTATCAAAGGAAAAAGGTCTGTGTAGAACGTGTCGTTAAGCACCTATGCTGGAGCAGCCAACCAAATCCGGTTCACATTATAACAAGAATGGCATAACTGGTAAACCAGTACTTCCACCAACACAGGAAAAAGCCCACAGCAATAGGCCAGACTTCCCCCACCGACACCCATTCAGCGTTCCTGGCATTCTGTGAAGGAATGTTAAAAGCTTTTCCAAGTTAAACAACAACTCCTGTACATGTTCTCGACAGGTTCATAACCCCTGCCTTGCATGGTGCTGACCTGGGAGCTAGCCCTGAGGTCAGCTCCATTGTTCTGCTTACCGCGCACTGTTTTTCAAAATTCCTTCCCTTCCTTACGATAACATGTACGTATATACAGGCTTTTCATATCAAATACACAAGTATGGTAAAACACCTGTAACCAGATTTAGATATTATATATATATACTGATGAAACTCTCACTCATAGGCCAGTAAAGCCTTAAGGTCTAGAGTTAGTGTTTAGCTCTACATTTGCCTTATATTATGTAATTATTTATTTAATAATTTACGTGATAAATGATCTTTGTTTTACAGCTTTCTCAGGATCGTCTACAGCTATAGCAATTTCCTACTAATTTGTTGAAATCTGTTAAATTGTAGAGCAGTAGCATCGTAATAGAATCATTTCATACTAGGGTTATATGTATATGTCATATGGGATCCGAATTTTTCCCCTACATTTGTCAAATGTTGTAATATATTTTCAATATATATCAATATAAATCAATATAAATCATTATTCGGCAAAGAAAATGAGGAAAAAGATACATAACTGCAGTAATTGCTAGCTTTTCAAGTCAATGTTAAGTCTCCTAAATCCACCAGAGCACACACTGTTGAACCATGGGGGGTTCTCACAAGACGACTGTCAAAAAAAGCTAAACAGGTCTATTCCTATGTATCTTTGAGAAGGACTTTCTAGAAAATCTTCACGCTAGTGATATCCTGCTGTTGCTGTAGGCTAGAGTGTGGCCCCGTGGAAAGTTGGTGTGGATGGCTGCAGTAGCTGTGTAGCAACTTAGCCACGTCGCTTCCCTACCTTACTCCTTATTTTAGTATAAAGCATCCATGTCCAGAGCACTGGCTTGTCATAACAGCCTACCATTCTGAAGCAAACCATTCAGTTACCACACACGAATGTATGTTTGCCCATTAGCGTTACTCAGTTAATCGCCTCAGTCACACTGAGCTGGTAGAAAGCTGCTGAATATTCGTAAATATCCCCATATCAGGTCTGTCAGTGGCTGGGTAAGAACCTCATACAATTCTAATAAAGCCAAAATAGGTATATTAAATTGGGGAAGAATATTCAAATGTTTAATGTCGTTTTGACAGCCTTAGATATACCTGCAGCTATTTTACTGAAAACAATAATCCCAAACTTTTAAACGCTAGTATATAATATTCTCATTATCTACAACCCTCACCACCCTGTAACCCATTCTCTCACACACACACACACACACACACAAATATACATTTTATAGGTTTATGTGAGTCTGGCCTGTCCACAGTAAATTCTTTGTATGGCCCAATCTCTCAATCATAGTTTTAGAATTACTGTAGCAACTCGAGGAATCTCAGAGTTCAGGCCCTGGGTCAGGGCATTATTTAGTGGTGAGCCACTGCCTCCAGCCTGCTTTGCTCTCCTGGGATGTTGTATTAGATGCTAACAGCATGTTTAAATATGTTGTCCTTGCTTCCAAAACAAGCCTAAAGAATGCTATGTCTGTATTTAGAAAATGTGCATGCTGATGAGGCAGCACTCCCGATAGTGCCAGCTCAGTGAGCAATTAGGTACAGAACATGCACGCTCTTATCAAAGCCCCAAAGCATGCCCCGCTTCCCTGCAGTAACTGGCTTTTTAAGTGTGACAACAAACATTAAAGCGGGCAAAAAAACAAAACAGAAAACGCAGATAAGACAAACCAAGTGGTTTTGTTGTTTTTGCAGCCCTGGGCTCACAAAAGACTGGACCTGAGCCATTGAATACCTTAATTACATAATGCGCTAATAATTGTTGCACCCTCCACCATCTACTGAACCTGACGGCTCTGGAGCCTTAAGGTCTGACTGGCTTAACTGATTTGACAGGTATGTTTTGAGGTCAAAGGCCAAGTTCAGTCTGGATGCAGTCCCACCAAGCTGATACATTCCACCCAGCTGAAACATACACGCCATGTTGGCATCATTTGAAAAGCACAAGATGAGTTTAGCGCGACACTGCTGCTGCTTTAGGTGCCCCTGGCTATCGCCCAGCTGGTGACCCAGCAAATAATGGTTTTGGATGCTTCTGAAAATTCTCTCCTCTCCTTCAGATAAGGGCCAGGGCCCAGACTTTATACACATCAGGTCTGTCAGTGGCCGGATAGAAATGTGCGTCAACTGTGACTCGACTATTTCATGCCAAAGGTCTAGCAGCCTGGTGTGAGTGAGACGATGACGCACAGAGCTCACAAATTGCCCTCAAAATGCAGAATTAGAGAGAGCTAGGTAAATAAAATTCCTGCAGGAGAATGCATGTTGGTATGATGTGTCTTTAACAACCACATGCTAATGCTTCAAGATGCAGATTCTTTTTTTTATACCTGGCTGGTATAAAAAATCATCTTTGTTCATCTTTAAAAACTCTATTTCTTTGTTATTTAAGATAAATATGCAGTGACAGTTTAATTAAGAAGAAATAGATACAGTACATTAAGCGATATGTTAGGTCATATTTCTGAGGTGATGAGATGTAAGATAGGAACTTTGGATGTGTGGAAAAAAAACCCTGCAGATTTCTTTGAAAACTGAGGGCAAGTCTCCTGAAAATACTGGAAGCTATAAGGGCAAATGGTGGATACATTAAATGCTTATATATATATATATATATATATATATATATATATATATATATGTGTTGATATTGTTGAGGCTTCTGTGTAATTTTCTGAAACATTTTTGTTTTCTGCTTTTGGCTGACAACCATTTTGATTAGAAATTAAAGTAATTGAAGGGTGGTTTGTATACAACACCAAAAAATCATTACTTCATTTTCAAAACATAACAAAATATCCCCTATCTAATACCTTCTTGTGTATGAAAAATCTTTTTCAGCCTAGTGGGTGGCAGTATAATCATGTCAGGTATAAGCTATCGGCAATAATCTACCGCAGAAGAAACATTATTCTGAAATGTAATTAGACACGCGCTAGCTACATAATCTCAGCCTAGCCTCCATTTCGTCGGTGGAAATAGCTAAGCGCTAATGTGATTTGGCAGACTACCTGAGCCTGCCACACATATACACACACACTTACTTCCAAGTTCACACACTGGACCTCACTTGTCAGCACAGTGCACAGTCTCCCACATTTTAGACTCAGCAGTCCTTCCCATCCCAAGGGAGACATGCATTAGTGCTGATGCTAACACATTAGCAAATCACGGCAGGCAATGTGCCCTTCCACTTTCAGGCCATTTGAGGTGATTCTTAGTACCCTTCCATAACATCAGCTCAGTGAGGTTAGTGATTGTACTGACACTTGGCTCCACAGACCTATTTTGTGCCTCACAGTATGCTAGCCTGCTCACATAGGCCAAGGCATTCTTCTAGCCAAGCTTAGGTAAGAATTGTCTTACATGCTTCTTTGTCGTCTTTTAGCCGTCATGCCTTCAAAGACCTGTCAGGAAATGATGTTTCATAATTTCTTCTTTTTCACTTTTAAATATAATGCTTGCTCCTAGTAGGGTTCCAGAGAAAAGCCTTAAAAGTCAATGTGAATTGTAATACATTTTTGTTCCTCACTGTGACAAGATGTTTTAGAGGCGACCAAAGCAGAAAATGTTTTAGAGGTGGCCAAAAATCTTTATATTTTGATGAAAGATTATGAGATAATTCTTGTTTTCCCACTAAAATGCTTTGGTATGATGAACTGTGCTAATATGATAAAGCAACATGAGCTACCATGTTTTTAAGATTGGGGTTTTTTTAACTAAATTCTTCAGACTTTGACATTTCATTACATTACAAAATAACAAAATTCTTAAAGAAGCATCCATTGAAAGGTTCTTTAGGGAAATAAGAGTGTGAACGCAGCCATTTGAACCCTGGTGTGGACCGAATTACCTGATTATGAACTCTTGTGTATTTTGAAATTGAAATATGTACGGAAAACAAACAAAATACTTCAACAGACTATGCATAGATTGACATCATAGATCGTCATCACTACTTAAAGTATTTTCCTTGGTACGTGAAATAAACAAATTTCTGATGCTGTCTTAACACATGTATGCATTTTATCCTCTCTTCGTGAGCTCTGAATCAGAAATTATAAAATGTATGGGTTCAGTTTTAAAACATACATAAAACCCACAAGCACAGTTAAGCCAGACTAACTTACAGCATACTACATAGTGTTTGTTGGACAGTATTCCAGTAGTATTTGCCAAATGTGCGTCACAAAACCTGTCAAATTAGTTGCAACTTTTATCCATATGACTTTTTGGTATCATGTCAATTATGATAAACAAACCATAACTAAATTGTAACAAACACTTTCTGCTTGGACCAAGAGAATCAAGCTACAAACATAAAAGCAGCCTAAATATGGTTGTTCTATAGCAGTTGTCATTAACCCTGGTACTGTAGCTCTGTTTTCCTACATAGTGTAGTTCCAACCACAATCAGCCACGCCTGCTCCAGCTAGTAAACTTCTTCAGAAGTTCCTGATAGGCTGAATCAGACACAACAGTGTTAGATAAGGGTGGTGGAGCAGCACGTCAGATGCAGGGTGGAACTGCGCTCTCAAGATCTGGAAAGTAGAGGAGGAGAGTTGGTGACCACTGCTCTATAGCATTGCTCCAAACAACTTATTTGACACCAAGAGTTAAGTCTGAACAATAAATGGAGCATAGGCTCTTGTGTCTTGTGTAGATCTGTGAATTCCCTAAACAGGGAATCCATGTAGGCTAACCCAGGCTCTAATCAATATCTTAATCATGTTATGACCGTGTTATTGATCAGGCGACATGTTTATGACTGTTCACATTATCTATTACCATTGCACAAGGATGTTGCACTGACTTTCTTAAAGAATTACCAGCAGGGTTCAGTCCTTGAAAACCGTATTTGGTCATTGGCCTCAAGAATGACTAGCAGCATGATATGCCATTGTTTCCTAAAGCATGTTTGTCTGTGTTCCTGCAGATATCAGACGCGCTGCAGAAGAGCTATGCTACGTCAGTGCTGTGGCAGTTCCTGAGCTTAGGCTACGCCCTCATGCTCTGCCCCTTCGTCATCGTCCTTGGGGGGATGTTCTTCCTTGCCACCGCCCTCTTCTTCCTCGACGACCGAGACAAGGCAGAGCAACAGTGAGTGGCTTTTGCTTGACTCATCACAAATGCATAATACACATATTCTTTTTATGAAAACTGACACTTGAACACATTTTTCCATCCCAATGAAACCCCCCATTGTATCCAAGCGCAGGGCTGTAATTTTTCATTTTTCAACACATAATGGGAGTCTAGAAAAATGGCTGTTGCTATGGCGATTGAGGCAACGTTGGCAGCCCTCATCCTGAAAGGCCTCAGGTGGAGCTAGCTAATCCATCAGAGTGAGGGAGATTAAAATCCGCTTCTGTCCAAACAAAGAGATTCTGCATCACATAGACAATGGGCCTGTGGTAACACAGGATAATAACCTCTAAAGGAGGTTATTTCACTTCCAATGGGGACAAAAAACAAGAAGAGCGAAGGAGACTCGAATAGCAGTAGTGGTGCTAATTCAAGACCAGAAGTAACACTGCAGATGTCAGAGCAGCATAAAAGAGCAACATCTTGTTATCATTTCAACAGGGTGGTCAGACGAGTTCATGCCCCAGGAATTTCAGGGCGACGTTTTGTCTAGTAAAAACAAGAATCATAGACAAAGAGCTGTAAGTCAGCGAAACTGCACTGCTGACAAAAGCTGTTTTCACACCACACACACACGTTATGTTACACTGCTTACTTAGATTGTACTTAGAAAGCTGTACTATATATATATATATACATATATATATATATATATATAGTAATATATATATACATAGAAATATTGGGAGTGTTTTGGTTTTGTCGTTGTTGCTGTTAGGACATGGAGTTAGAAGGTGGCTGCACTTTCCAAGTAATCTCAATTACAAATTTAGTTCAGTTCATAAGACCTCACTCCACATCTCAGATATCCAGTTCCTGTGTTCTAGCACAAATGTCCTTTTTGTCTGTTTCCTTTTCTCAGGAACAGCTTCTTGATAGCTACACATCCTCTTAGTGTCAAGCTGTCTTCTCACAGTCTCCCAGATCTTGCATGGTTGTCAGGAGTCCCAGTTTCTCAGTATCTTTTAAGATTTTTTTTTAAATTTCAGTTTTGAAACTCTGTTTTTTCAGTTATCGTCCTTTGACGCTCCACTACATTATGCAAAGAGATCAGATCTATAATATCCTTAGAGATATCTCCCTAAAAATGATTAACTTGTGCTTAATAACAGTTTTGACTGGAAATCGTATGAATGAAGGGCAGTCTCTGACTATATATATTAAAGTAAAAATGGTGCATTTAAAAAACACATGACACACATCCCTCAGGAGCTGGAAGAATCCAAGTGCCTTAAAAGGCAAACAGAATTTCAGAACCTAGAGCGCAAGATGCCGTTCTCCTTTGCATTGTTTTATCAAGTGCACTTCCTGTGTTTGCTTCCGTTCTGAAATGACTTCCTTCCACTCTGGTCATAGACATTTTTGGGTAGGGTGGCAGTCTTAACGTCTACGGCCGTCTGCAGCCTGTATGTATGCTCCCTGAAGACCAGGGCTCCTTAGTTTCCCACGATGGGATCTCAGTGGCACTTGGCCTTAAACCAGGAATCCTTAGTGAACTAATCAGTCTAAACAGCTCTGACCCCAGAGCAATAATCAATGACTGAACTCAGAATTCAGTCAATCAATAATGTCACAGGGTTTGAATTTCTGTTAATATTTACAGGTTAGTGTTAAAGGCTATATCAATAAGGAGCTATTTAGTTGCTTAATCAGGTCAAGTCTTTTTTGTTCTTACTCCTTTAGTAACACAAATGAAGAGTACATTTACACCAAGACCACGGTAAATAAAAAGATAATAATATTATAATTTTAGCAGTTAGGCATCCAGAGTTATTATTGTCATTTTTCTATACATTTAATTTACATTAAATTAATCTAAATGCATTTACATACTGGTCAGTTACATAGTTAGCTGTATAACAAATTAATTTTATATTCTGTATTTGCAGACTGGCAGACATTTTCCTGTTGGTTTAAGTACTAAAATACTTTAATACTTTAAAAAGAAATTACAAAAATATGTCAATTTCTGAGCTTTCAGTGAGCAATGAGTGACAAAATGAAAATAGCGATAGCTGCAAGGGTTAAACCTACAGTTGTATGTACCTCTGGTCAAAGTACATGCTTTGTTGATTTTGTAAGTGAAAATTACTTATGCAGAACACACTTTACACACATTTTACACACAGTTTAATGCACAGTTAATGTCTGTTTGCTGAATTTAACATATCGGGGAAAAAAATAAAACAGAAAATGTGGCCTGTGTAGAACTTATGACACATTTAATATTTTATGTGTATTTTTCCCAATATGTTAAACTCTGCAAATAAATAGAAATTGTGCCCCAAAATTTAGAGGATGTGTTAACATATTTTCACGTACAAAATCAACAAAGCATGTCATTAGACTGGGAATGTTCTAAATTTGCATATGGCTGTATACATTGATATAGCAGAGCTCAGAGTTGGAAGGCAAACATTAGAGGTTAATGCAGGGCACTGCCAAAGAACTCCCTCATTGTCTTACAGCACCATAGACCTTCCTTTTGTGGTTTAAGTATTACCACATTATTGCGCAGTGTAGGTTTGCCAGGCCACTGTATTGCATCCTGTGTTATTAACCACATTAACCTTCGTGCCATGAAAGCAGGAACAGATAGCGCTGCAGGCCTGATACAGAGCGAGAGATGGATACTTCCTCAGAACGCGTGCATTCCAGTGAGCTTTATCACATACAGTAGCCCTGCCAGTCATAGATAAGTGTTCCTAAGCTTGGCTGTACTGCGCTGACAGGGGCATTCATAATTGATCACTCATTTAATAATTTGCTATGATACTTGCTTCAGAGGGTACACCAGTGTGCTGATGTTCAAAGAAGCTATACTAAAGGCAAAAATATTGCAAAAAAAACTGAACTGCTACCATCTTATGTAATTGGCTTCTAACAGCATCTAAGAAAAAAAATGCAACAACAGGGGATCAGAGCCAGTCCAAAAATAGGAGCCTTTTTTTGCTGTGCTTTTTCAAGCTTGGAGCTAGCTCTCGATTCACAAGTATCTCTAATAGGAATCAACACAAAAATGCACTGTCCTCAGAGATCCCCCTCTATTTATAAAAGCCCAAGAAGCAGAATGAACAGCGTTAGCTCGCGTGATGCCGTCTATTCCTAGGGCCAGAAGAGTGACTTGTTATTTCTAGGTTGTTAGCTTTTTTTGGCTGACAGGAAGCCATTTATAGAACAGAGTACGACTTTGTTCACAGATGCACTCGCACATACAGACGCGTGAGAACATCATCTGTCTCATTTACTTTGCTGCTGTGGCATCAAGTAGCTTAGTGCCTGCAGGGGCCCCCATGTATCTAAGTAAAGATTAACTATAGTCTAAAGCGCTTCTGGCATGCAGGGCAGGAGCAATAATCAATGACTGAACTTGGAAGCATGCTTGGTTAAGTGTGGCTTCCCAACAACAGAAAGAAATGGAGAGAAAAAAATCGTAATCTGACAAATATGTAATAAAGACCTATTATATAAAAACTTAGTTATATAGTTATATTAGGAACTGCAGGGAAAAGAACACCTCTTTGAAACCTGTTCAAAAAATCTCAAGTGTTCATTATAAATAGAAAGATCCAGAGTTAGCCTGAACATCGCACTAGCAGGCAGGCGATGTGGCTAAAATGTAATATATTTTCTCAATACATAATATTTCATTTTCTGTGGTTTGTTGAACTGGAACAGACAAAAATGACCCAGCAGTGATGCAACTTTACTGGCATTTCACTGTCAGTGCAGGTTATATGTCTTTTTGGACAATTTCTATTGGTCTGTTGGCCATGAAATTTTGAGACCATGTAAATGACGATGCATTTTCCAATGATATAAAAAGAGACAAACAAACAAACAAAAAATCATATAACTTGAATGTAAATAGTTTTTATATTTAAGTATAATTTCGTACAAAATTTCTGCAGTTATTTGATCTGATCTGATCAGGTTAAGCAGAAAAGATCACATTTTGGGGCAACAATAATACTGTATTTTTTTTTAAAGAACATCAGGGAAATGAGTGTATAATCTGGCATTTTATATAAGAGACCAGGCATATGTAAGCTCCACTTATATCTTTGTTAGAGCCATAATGTTGCTCTCCACAGCCCCTGAAACATGCATTGGTTAACTTGACCTCTACAATTCAAGGTGATGTCTGTCTTAGGGTGTGTAACTGTTCCAAGATGCATGACTCTTTTGAAACTCTAATTGTAACTTTGATAGTGCCATATCTCATCATATTTTCCCTTCTTTCTTTGTTTCCCAAGGACGAATCAGCTCTCTCTGCCTCCGTCTACAGTAAAGGTAAGACTGAGTCAAATTGCATTTCACTGTTATCTCCCCTATAAAAGCTCTCAAAGTAATTTCCTAACACAATCTGTAATTTCAGTGACATTTAGCTGCAGAGAATTTGATGATTCATACTTATTTGTGGGTCCTTGAGAGCACAGAGGAAAAATGTGGAGAGGACTGATGACATCCTGCTTTTTGAAACTCAAAAAGAGATCAAACAAAGTTTCCTCTGATTCCTCAGCTTACTCACAACATTTTGACTCTGACATCAAAAAATCTACTGATCTTAATCTTAGATGTCAGAGGCTCATGGTAGGGTTGGGTTTCCAGCTGCAGACATGTTAGATTAGAATAGAATACAATAGAAAACTTTAGCCAAATTTGATTCTTAACCTTTGGTGTACTTGATCTCCCTGTTTTATTCCTGTTATTCATGGCCCAGGGATCAGGCTGGAGTAGTAGGCCTCGCTCCGGTATCTTGCACTCTTAACAGCACGTTCCTGCCCTTCCTCCTTCTCCTCTTATCAGTCTCACACACTCACACTTCGCTCGAGCCTGTGTATGTAAATACCGGAGCTCTGAAAAAGAAAAGATCGAGGAAAAAAGAAGGAGAAAAAAAAACATACTGTAGACGGGGAACTAGCCACTCCAAGCTTTCCAGTTCTGTAGATACTCACAATGGACCTTTGGGTGTACCTCTCTAAAAATAACAAGACCAGAGTTTTCTCTTTATGTTCTTGTGGCTCCACTTTGGAAGGTTATCAAGCCAGGACAAGATTTGTGTTCTGCAGTCACCACACCAGGACCTCCTGTTGTGTTTGTATAGACATTGATTGGTTGCACTGACTCAGACCTGTGTAAATGAAATAATATCAGAAGCTTCTCTGAGACACTTAAGTATATAGAAAAATATGGCCTGACAGATATATTACTGGCATAATACAAAAAAATCAGTCTATATTAAGTTTCCACAGATTTTTTAAATAAGAACTCTACACAGAACTACATTCAGGACAGTCATGGTATAGACGATAATGTCAGGCGCAAAGAGGTGTTAATGACTTTGTGAATTTGTGAATATGGGGTCATGCATCACATGCGTAGACATGAGTCCCATCAAAACAGCAACTGTTTTGATGCTCTGGGTTAATGCTACAAGGCTTATTCCTATGAGAGTCCCTGTCTCCTACTAAGTCATTGACTGACTGACTGACTGACTGTTACCCATTGTCAAAATGCGCAAGCCAACATAAGGTGGTGGTATACAAACATAAATGAAGTGACATTGTCATCTACATTGTCATCCATATACCTCTACTCAAAATGTAGGGCTCACCTTGTTTTATAAGCAGTCTTATTTAGCAATTTTCACTCTTCCAGGTGAGGATAGTCACCAAGCACTAGTGTAGAACCACTAAGTGCACCAGAATGTAAACTGGAGTAGTATTTTGATGTGAGTGATTGCCAATTTTAAAAATAATGGCTTTGTATAGAGTTCACCAGTGTAACGTAGCTAGCTCAGAGGCTAAAATGTTAGCGCTGTTACCCAATGATAGCAGGTAGAGAGCGAGTTGTTTTTGCTCAGTTTTACACTCAAAAGTACTAGTAGTAGTAGATAATTTGTGTATTTCTTGACAGTGGCTAGTAAAAAACCTAAATGGGCTCGAGACACTAACATTGTAGTCTACCTTTTAAGGTGGACTACATTGTTAATTTGCCACCTAGTCTTGTTTTACACGTCAAGTCAAGTTTATTTCTAGAGCACAGTTAAAAACAGCAAGAGTTGACCGAAGTGCTGTACAACTAATCAAAGTCAAAATATTTATAAACAGAAGCAAATTTGATTGTAAAAACACAAACAGTGCAATTAAAACACAAAAAACAATAAAAAAAAAACATGAAGTAATACATTAAGCTAAAAAAAAATTAAAAACTTACATAACATAGAATTACACAAGTTAAACACAGTCATAAGCCAAAGAAAAGAGAAAAGTCTCAAGGGAAGATTTAAAGTCTCCAGTAGTTGATGCAGATCTCACCTTAAGAGGTCAAATTTGTCAGTTAGGCCCTAAAAGATACAGCATCATCAACCAGCCTTCACAGATAGATGAACAGATGCGGATCTTAAGATACTTTCATGCACAGTGCTTCAATTCAGCACAGTTCAAGTAATAAATGCCTTACGTTCTTGCTGTTTTTTTTCTATGTACTGTTCTTTTTTTTACATTTGTGTTACAGCTTACTTACCTTTCAGAATCTATAACCTTATAGCATTGAGAGAAAAATCAACATTTGTAGTGGATCATTACATTTACAGTAGCTGACGCTCGCCCTAAAGCATCTGACATTAACAAACTGCCGTTCCCTCTACAGCAGCTTTAGGTGCCTTGTCTGGTTGAAGCCAGCAGCCATTAGCTAGGATTGAACCCATGACCTCTTGAGTCTCAGCCAAGTTAGCAGAGCATATTACAATATTAACTTGTCCAGTTCTGAGCCAGAGACTAAATGGAACGAAATATTTTTGCAGCAATACTTGCCAGCAGTGTCCTATTCATAATGCACACGTCTCCTTCTATTTGTCATTCTCCAGCTTCTAATTAGTGAAACTACTATTCTGATTTAAAGCCAAGCTGACTGTGAGGCTAAACTGCATCACTAATCATAAGAGCGGTAATAAAACCATTGCAGACTCAACCCTTAAAGTCCAACACGACCTTCCCCTTCTGCCATTTAAGAGGAAATCAATCAGTTATCAGTGATTGGCTCAACACTGTACATGACGCTTGGCCAACCAGAGGCAGTTATTAGCGTGTAAAATGTAACAATGCTTTTGCCCTCTCTACTTATGTAAATTGGTTATTGCTCCAAATTAATGGGTTCCTTAGGGGTCAGAACCCTCTGTGAAGACAGCAGTTTATATTACGCAACCAACGGCGACCCCCACACTGACAATTACAGATGACATTATAATGAGAAGCAAGAATGTAAGGCATGTCCAGGGAGGAAGATTAATGAGGCGCATTTCTTGCAGTAACAGAGAAAGGAAGAAACATAGTTAAAGTCCATGTAAAAGGCAGCTGGAAGGGTGCGCTAATCGCTGAAGTCTCGCCGCATCATGATCCATTAGCCTTAGCTGGTGCAGTCCTAGACAAAGATCAGATAAACCCAGATCCAATTAAATGGCTGTACGAAGCACCGTCCATAGAAAGACACAGAATCTCTCGACATCACCAGGAGTCCTCAGTCAACCGTAAGAAGCAATCTGTTGAAGTTTCTGGGATGTGCATTTGAACTCAGCTGAGCAAAGCTCAATTTTAACATCTGAAACATTCATTTTATGAACAGCTTTTATGGATGAGATGTGGCCTTGCGTGCTCAAAAAAGTTACATTTTCTTTTTTTACTTCTGCCTTTTTAATATTTCTTTGGCTAGATAGCTTCCTCACAGCAGACTGCATATCTGATGGTCATGGAAATGTGTCTACTCTCCATGGTCCAAACACAAATACCAGAAAAATAGTGAACAAAAGTCAAACCAAAACATTGACTACTTCATAAATCGATTTAATGCAAACAATAAATAAAACATTAAGTATTTTATGGCATTTCCTATAATTAACTAGGACTTAGGGGTGTAACGAGTCATAAATCATTATTCGTTTCAATGCCAGACAGTGGTGTATTGAGTTTTTGCAAGTATATACTATCGAGATCTCATGCTGCAGCCACAAGCTAATATGTTAGCTCAAGGCTAACACACTAGCCACAAGCTAACACTGTAGTCACGATACAATGATATAATACAACACCCTGTGACATAATTCGATATGATACATTGTTACATCACTAATAGGGATTTCTGCTTAATTTAGGCTAGTTCCGAAACAACAACTTCTCCAGGACAGTGTATGTTTTTGTCTGTGTTATTATATAGAAAATAGTAAACCTCTTAGCCCAAAGCTCTAATCTATGTCTACTGTATGTCCAGTAAAGCGTGTAATGTAGATTATTGCAAGTTTAAGAATGGATACTGCTTTAACATGGCCAGCATCCCAAAAGATTGACTAATAGAATGTTTAGAGGTAAAGATCATCACAGTTCTGGAGCACCTTCAGCAGTGCAAAGTGGTTTTCTGTGTTTAAATCTAAATGCAATCATGGTAATACTGCAGTGGCCATTCACTACTGGAGCCAAGCCTTCAGTTCAGGCTATAAATGTTAAAACTTGGTCGAAAAACAGGGAAAAAATACATCTAGGATAATCTCGAAATCTCTCGAAATTGGCACCACCCATTGTAAATCAAAACATGATTGGCTGATTTCATTCCAAATTATATTGGTTAACCTGACACACTAGGCTTTCAGTTCAGCCCCTGAAGTCCTAACCAACAGTAGAGCTCCCTTGGCTGTACCTACCTAGATGCCCCAGAGAAAAGAAATCCTGATTGCGTAATTTTCTGTTGACCGAAACATTGAAATAAGAGTATTACAGAGTTTAAATACAGGAAGCATGGTGATTCTATAAAATCACAATTAACTACAAACTACAGGCATTTCTTTTTCATTAAAAAAAATCATTAGGCCTTCTCTGAAGGCCTTGAAGGTCCTCACTGTTCCCTACTGCAGTACTCTTTTAAATTGTAATATAAGGAGAAATGCTGTGTCCGTATGTGGCCAGGAAGAAGAGCTGTGTTTGCGTATATTGTCAGTGTGGCCCACAAGCAACAGCAGACAGATGGCACAGTGGCTTCTAAGTGATAATTACATGGGAACATCCTGTTGGGAAGCCACTTGCTCGCTCACTCACTGACTCTCTTTCTTGTTCTCTCATAGGTCACCAAGTGAGAGGAGGACTGGAGTGGATGGACTGAAGAGCAAGCCGAAGGACTGAGATGAAGAGAAGGAGGAAAAGTAAAAAATATATAAAGTTTAACAGACCCACAGGATACCCATGCTGCACACCACCATCACCGCCAACATCATCACCGCACATCAACTTCACTGCTGCCATTCTCTTTTATCAGTCACATGGAGGCTGACCTGAACTTGAGCCATTAAGACACCTCGCTTGCCCAAGAATGACCAAGTCCTGGGCAAGCGAATGGGGTGGTGCAGCATGGGAAAGGCAGCCAATCAGCAGCTATTGGGCAGCTTGCATATGGAAATGTACAGTAAAGGGGTTTGCAGGCCCAAGGAGGGGTGGGTTGGGTGGGGGGTGGTCAATTCTTTAGTGCCATACTACTGAACACGGACACACTCTGTCCAGTCACGCTGCCTGTCAATCTGCACCAAGTGCCATAGCATCACATTCCTATACGGGTCCAGTCCACACCTACAGCCAAGTGGAGCTCACTGATAGGCCACAATTGTGTAAATATAGAAATGAAGGAATCAGTGACCTCTGAGAAGTCTCACGGATGACCGGCTGTTTGGTTAGCCTGCTTTAATAATGCCAACACAGGCAAATGTCTGGTTCCCTGCTCATTTACCTTCCCTGTGTCTTCTTTGCTTTTTTAATCTATTTGTCTTAGCACTTATTGATTTAATGCAGTGCCAGTTATTAATGCAGTCAGCCAACATAATCCGCTCATATTTTTTGTGCTACACTTATCTGATTGTGTGTGAACATGAAACCTGAGGTCTTTACCTATGATTGTTTCAGAGGGGTTGCTGGATAAAAGTAGAGAAACACTGGAGTGTAAATATTAGAATTTTTCTCAACTTTGTAAATGATTTTTTTTTTTCAATCTTTCTACCAAATTTTCACAAGTGATGAAGAATTACTACACATTAGAAAGAATAGGACATAGACACCTCAACTAACATGCCAAGGAGAAAAGGGGGAACAGAAATGCTGTTGGGTAAAGCCCACTGGACGCCTTTCTTGTGATAGTGTTTTCCTCAATTCTCTATTTTACGGAGGATAAGATTCACAAGCACCAGTCTATAATAATGGTCATCTTTGTGCACTGGGCTTTTTTACTCGTTCAGTCGTAGATATCCCCTTTCCGAAAGAGAGCCAGCCTGAATAGGTGATAAGAATCAAGCTCAGTCGCGAGTTAATTAGCTAATGTAATCCATCCTTCTGAGGTTTAAGCCGAATCTGTTGCTTTTATTAAGGGACAATATTACATTTGGGTTATATTATCCAAAGCAAGTTGGGTTGTAAAAGCTTCAGAATCAAATCTAGAAAGGTGTTGACCACTTTTGAAAAAACCTTTCTTCATAAACTTGGTAACAAAACTATGAGAAGTCCACAGTTTGAGAGGCGAATCTTGTGGAAATATATGGATTTAATACTTTTTAACACTACACCGTAGATGTGAATACTAAAAATAACCCTAAATCAGCTGAAGCACTTTGCTTTTAAAGGAGAAAGGGGGGAAATGAGGGAAAACTCACTAGAGTAGGCCATGTTTACTCTTCTCTTGTGAAAATATATATTATTGCTGATTTCTTAAGTTCTTTGTAAATGGACTTTGTAACATATGCAATTTCATAGAATTGACATCATTTGCAGATATGAAAAGCTTTGATAAAGGCAATAATTGATATATTTTCACCTTCAGTTGAAGCTCTACTGATCAGACGTTAAGCTTTTTTAATTTTGGTGCATATCAGTCACATTTTGAGACCTTCAGTTACCAAATGGAAATGACCTGTCTTTGAAGCCGTTTGTATGGTGTAGTCGTCCTCTCAGAGACGAGCAGAGGTTCCACCTTTTTTCACATTGAAAAAAAGGCATCCTGCATATGGATCGAGGTGTTGTTTATTCCGGAAGAGATCGGGGGGGGGGGACTAACAAAGCAAGCTCTGACATCATCTGTATTGTGAAGGTGTGACTCACCACGGGGATTGAGGGATACCGTCCTTATTTGCCAGTTAAATTCTCAGAGCTTTCATCATGCCGGGTGAAAAGCTATCTGAATGTGATTCTGTCCGATGTGTTTACACATGCAAATTCATTATAATTAAGCTTTTTTTTGTATTATCATTCTTTTTATGGATGTCTTTTTTTTCTTTCTTTTTACAGATATTAGTTTTATATATCTTAATGCTATAAAGATGAACAATTATATTATGCAGCGATTTTAATATATTGTAAACTACAGCTTTGATGCAATGTATTTATTTGTTGTTTATTTGTTACCGTTAGGAATATTTTACAAAGGGAAAAAAAATGTTCTGAATATTATAAATATTCAATTTTTTGGGGTTTTGAAATGAATCTACATGTATCATTGTCAGTGAAGAATCCTGGATAGTTTGTCATCTCAAAGAACTGTACTTACACCACAAAACAGCACAGCACAGATTTACTGCACACTCAAGTCCTCCAACAGGTTTTCTAGACCAATGAAATGTTACTTTTTTTATTTTACATTATTTACATTTTGCACAAGCAGTTGGGTGTGCCATGTTCAGGGGTTGTTTTTCTTTTCTTTTTCCAATCTGTTAGTTGTACACTGGCGTTTTGTAAGTGCTAAAGGGACTGTACCTAAGTATCTAAGTCACGTTTCTCACTCATGCGACATGCTGTCTATTTGTTCAGTCGTAGACGTTCTCTGTGATCCTGCCATTAAAACTGCAGGCCTGAGACTCAACACCAAATTCAGATCATCATCAATGACACAGCCTGCTTATTAGAACCTGTTTATTTGCGAGACTGTTTTAATGGAAGAGTCATGGGGGTGATGGTGTGTACTGAGAATGTGTTCTTTCTTGTCATACAAGAGTTCTGTACAAAACAAATTGTTTCTGATGTTGTGCAGAAACTAAAAAAGGGGATTTTATTTTTAAGAGCGAGCGTGATGGAAAAGAACAAATAGGTCAAATAAAAGAAACCATTATTATTGCTATCTAGGAAGTTACTGTGATGCTCCGTCTGGGAGCAATATGAGATGTAAACATATATGTCAATGATCAAAATAAACTTATTTAATCAAAGCAAAATATTGAGTTGGGTGGGTTTCTTTTTCCTTTTAATACCTTTTTTTCCCATTTACGTAGCATGTATATAGCGCTGTTCATGCAATTACTGAAGGTGCTTTACAGTGTCACAAAACAGGAAAAAGAAACCAAAGGTAGTCAAAAGAAACTATATTCTGATACACTACCACTTTATTTAAGTACCAGTTAAATATTTATGATATAATATAATACAGAGGTACCTGTGGACGAAAGTTAGCCCCTGAGGACATTTGATTTAGAGATGAAAACATTTCAACAGTGGCTTAAAGGCAAAAACTACATTCAAAACATGTAGACTTGGGTGTGTAGGTCAAAAACAACTACACATAGCACGAAGAAAAAAACAGACCCAAAAAGCTAGTTAAAAAAACAGGATGAGATATCATTGTTTTGCCAAACATACATACTCAAGCACAAAGGTGAGATAAAAACAAGGCAGTAAACACATTTCAGTCAACAGACTTTCATTAGTGCTAAACAAAGACACAGTCATTAGCAAATAGACACAAGAGCAAGACCTCTAATCACACCTGGCACCAATCACAGAGGTGTGGGCCTAACCTATTAACCAATGACTGATGAGAGACACTTGATTTGGCCAACCAGAAAGTTAGCCTACGAGAGTGTTTTGTCTCTCATTCAACCAATGACAGGATAACCATTTTTCAATAGATCTAACTTTCAAAATAATTTTAATATTCTTTTAAACTGTTTTTGAAATATTTTAGCAACAAATCTAATATAATTTTAGGAATTACATTTTTACTTTCTACATATATGTATGTTGTCTTCTGTCTAGCCCCACTAAAACAAAAAATTTGGGCCCTGATAGAGCATGACTTAATAAAATGTATCATCACAGTCATTTGTCATATTAATGTTTATGCAGTAACACATTGTAGATTTAGATAAAAACTACACCTGAGGGTATTGCTAAATATTTGGTTGTGCTAAATAAATACAGTATTTCAGGAACAAGAGTAAGTCTTAAAATAATGTAATGGTGTTTTTACCATTTCTCTTGTAATATATTAATTTTAGTCTAGCATTCTCAATACAATATATCACTTTTAGAATCATACACAGCTCACTTTATCCATTAAATTGTAGCATGAAAGTTGTGAGAGTGCATACTACTGGCTAATGTGCGTATACACTTTCACTCCTCAGTGTGCGTATCTGCATCACTGTCAAAAATTTACAAGCTTTCTTTGTAACCACCAAAAGCTTTAAGATGAACAAAGCCTGAGTCATTACCACTCTTCCTGTCAACAGAGTATCAATGACCAATTCAGTCACATTTAGAAAGTCACTAAATGTAACTCATTCACAGTCATTTGTGGCAGGATACTCTATCTGGAGTCTAGACAGAGAAGCCACATGCATGAATGGGCTCTAATGTAGAGGAGCCTACTGCAAATACCTGAGAGTCAGAATGGAGACTTTCATAGACTCAGAACAGAAAAGACTTTCTCTTCTTCACTTCTTTCCAAGTGAGGGAGGAGGAGTATTTTTGATCAGGCAGTATAAGAGGCAGTCCAGATTTAGAGGCCTGAATGAAGCCCTACATTGTTTAAAAAGGTGCACAGTTTCTGTTACCCCAGGAGAGAGGTGTTTAGCTGGTAACCTGCAAAGAAGTTCAGCAATGTGCCGAGAAAATACATGTAGTTTTTACACACACACACACACACACACACACACACACATATATATATATATATATATATACCGTCAGAACAAGGAGTAAAACGTCCCCTGTGCATTGTATGTGTGTAAGTGTGCACGTACCTATATATGTATATATGCAGTGCAGGTGTTGCAGGCCTGGAGCTGGGAACTCTGCACTAACTGCACTAGCAAACTCACAAAATCACGTCTGTTAAAACACAACATAGTTTTCTGACCCAAGCGACATTCAGTCTCTTATTTAAGTTATTAAATACATTAAGTTTCTCCATTCTAACCTAATTTAAATCTCCAGAAACAGAGAGTAAAGCTATACCCGGCTGTTTGCAGCTCCATTAGGGGGACGACTGTTTATCTCTCGGCTGTTAACGTTAGCAAAAGTTCTCTAAAGGCCAGCATTGTTCACATCTGTGTTAATTAGCTGATGTTGCCTTACCCTGAATATGATGACAGTTTTTTCTCATCTTTATGCAACACCATGGCATCCTTTACCCACCCTGACCTGAAGAGTCGGTGGGCTTCTGTGCTTTTAAATGCTCTGAGAGACTCTCCAGAATAGGGGCTGTGTCTGAGACAAATATAAATGTCAGGAAAACACAGATTTGGTAGCTGTCCACCAGTTTAAGTGGGACCAGGAGTTCAGGGGTAAACTGTACAAAGATCGCAGCCTATTTTATCGACTTTGTCAAGGTAACGTTTTTTCTCCTCCAAAGTGAATAATTTTAGGCATCTTTCACCTTTGGTTACGTTTGTACGGAGCAGTGACACCAGAAATTCGGTCCCAAATATGGTGACCACAACAGAGAAATACACACACATACACACACACACACACACACGCACAAATAAAACCCTTATACAAAACACAGGAGTGTTGCTATGTGAGAGGAAATTCAGAAAAGCTTGTGCCAGCCACACACTGGCCCTGTTCACACTCACACATATCACATATGAAAAAACAATATTTGCCCAAGGCGGAACTTTTTCACGCCAAACTGCATGTGAAAGCAAAATGAGAAAGTTCACAAATACCTGTTGAAGTGATCACAGCTGCAAAGAGAATTACCTCATAACCAGCAACCTTCTGAGGTGCAGGGTGATCTGGAAAACACCTAACATCACAATATTTGAAGACATTTCCACGCTACACCATGTCCACAAGTACCAACAGCACTTCCAGTTAGTGAGTTCAGCTACTTTTGGGTGCACCCATTGCTGACTTGGGCATTCAACTGAGCAAACAGAGCTAGTATATTGTCCATAGAATAGCAGCTGCACATGAGCCTGTGCAGATCAAGGTCACCACACCCAATGCCAGTTACTATACACTGGTGCTTGTGGTCTAAAACTGCATGTATGGTATACGCAGCTGTTCAGTGTTCTAGAAGTACTGATGACACCCATCATATACTCAGAAAAGCATGCTGTGGTGTAATATAGCATGTTAGCGATAACATTATCGTATTGCCCACGGCTGCAAGCTGCTGTGGCTGACGATGACTTTTCTCTCAATGTCAGACACACAAAGCATAAAAAAATCCCACATCAGCAACCAAACAGCTTGATTTCAATAGACAGAGCTTCTCGCTGTTAACTGCTGATGATTCAAAAGGCCTGAAGTTCAAGCATGGCTTTTACTGCCTGGAGATGTGCTTACTGAGCTCAGACCAAATCGAAGCTATCGATTACAAAGCCTTTCCCATTCCCAAAGCCATCCTCTAATTGACCAGACGCCTGGCATTTAGAGAAAAAGAAAGCACTGTCAGAAACAACACGCAACAAACAGGCACATCATTGGGGTGTACTAATTTCAAATCTGGACATATTAGCTGAATAATATCTGCAAAATGCACAAATACGGAAATTTTTGTTAGACAAACACACTAAGCTAAAGATTTCTGAATCTATTCTATTGACAATAAAGGTGTAAATCTCTGAACTCAATACAATTCCGATTCTTTATGAAGCAGCTTAACGTATCATGAAATCTCAGACTTCACCACGGTTTTGAATTGTTTTATTTAATTCCGTCAGTGGATTCCAGGATCATTTAAAAAAAAATAAACCACATAAATGTGCCTGGAGGAACTACTTACATACACAATACAGACAAAATGACATGCTGTGTTTTTTTAACATTACATTAACAATTCTATTTTGGCAAAAAATGAGCAAATATTCTCATGATAAATTATTATTGTTATTAGATTCCATCATAACATTCCAAACCTGATGCAGTTATATTGCCACCTTCAAAATCATGCCTCATGATACACTGATGCATGTTTACACCCCTAAATGTGAACACTGTAAGAAGAGATTTTGAACTAGTGCATATTCATTTATACTACCATTAATCACGGAATCACAAAGAGATGGAATAGGAGCGGTTCCAAACGTCAACACACCAGAGCACAGGTCAGACAGGAAACAGCAGGGCGTAGACAGGAAATCATGGTTCCCTATAGTCAGCTAGAAATTCTACATGCTTTTTCCCCTGAACTGTTAAAATAAAGCAGTAAAATAAAAAAGTATATCCACTGCAGGTCATTTTAGATGCTCCTGTAAGCTTAAAAACAATACTTTATGGAAAATGCTTCTAGGAGACACTCATTTTCCTCTGATGTGTATTACTATTAATGTCGGTTAATAGTTAATAGTTAATAATAGATGGGCCTTCACCTGGAAGCATCGCTCAACAATTGCTCCTTATTGGCAACACGCTACAGCACTAACCACTTGGTGGTTTAGCCACAGAACTTGAGAAGCTAGACTCTAAACTGACGTTAAACATAAACACTTAATAATGTGAGGGCAGAACACATACTGGTACAGAAAACCAGAAAACATGCCTTCTGCAATGCTGACCAAACAGAGACATTGAATCACCAGATAAACAAGCAGCTACAGAGAATATGACAATAGCGCCTTATATAGCCAGACTCAGCGACTCCACAATATCATTAGTCAATATTATTTCCCCCAGTCACTGGTGAACATAATGCAGTCAAAATAACAATGATTTGATGGAGGATTACAGGAAAACAAGAATTTTGATATGATATAATGGATTGTGCTTAATATGACCAAGAACCTGAACTAACAGGATAAAAAAAGATGAATTTTGGCTTCAGGTTCACTTCAAATGCTATCGTCCCTTTATGCTCAGTAGAACCTATGCAAGCAATTAAAATGTTCCCTTTACGTACAAGGGTCTGTATGTGGACCCACACCTCAGTTACTTACTTTCATAACAAATAACAGTTCTCAATTTTCTCAAAGGCACCCCCCCTTTT